ACAGACAGCTCAGTTTAAATCGTTATACGGTCAGAGATTGATCGAGCGCAAAAGCTTCATCCCACTACAGTGACTCCAGCCTCACCAGCAGTGAATCACGCATCATCGACAACTATACCATGCTATTAACCCTATCTAGCGAATGAGAGAGTCAAAGTAAGGGAGGCCGAAAAAAACTCCAAAGCACTTAAACACTTGAAATAAAAATTCAAGGAGTTAATTTGATAGCCTGAAAGGGAACTCTTAGCTTGAGATCAATGAAAGGGTTTGGGTGCGCCGCGCTCACACGTCCCAATCAATATTAATTAGCACCAAAGATTTGCTCCATTACAAGCTCAAATACTATCCCTCACACAATAACTCGGACAAATGATTCGTTTAATGTTGCAGGGCTATAATACCTACACGCTTAATATAGCTCTGAACAGATGTTTAGAAGTAAAAAAAAAGGATCCTGTGAGTCTCATCTAAGAAGTGTGTCTATACTTTCGCATTTAGATTTGTTTCCACTTCCCCTTGGTGTATTTAAAATAACATCTTTGAATAGTTACGAGCAGACCCTAGGTAGCAACTTATTAAAATCTCCTCTAGGCTATTGAGTTGTAACATCAATGCTAGCTATGTTTTCCTTTTAATGAGAGCCAGCGGGGTAGCCTAACACTTTTCTTCAGTTTTTCCTTTTTAAGGGAGGATTACTCATTTCCTTTACACAAAAGAATGTTCTCCATTTCCCCGCACCAACCTGTCTTCCATATAAGCCTAAATATATCATTTGTCACTTCGATGAAATGGGACCAATAAGAGCATTTACTAAACCAGTGCCGCTACTGCAGGACGGATGAGTCGTGCCCCGTTATCACGGTACAAATAGACTCATGTAGGATTCATGATCGCAACAATCATGGGTTTGATCCCAGGAATAACTTGGCTTTTTAATAAGTGTACCTTGACTATACTGTAAATTGAAATTCAAAGTCTCTACCAAATGCAAACTTTATCTGAAATGACAAAATAGTCATTATGGGACGGTTTTAAAGTTCAGACACTGCATTTAAACAAACCTGCATTAAAATTGGTACCTCCGGTTCATGCATAATGTTATGGTGACACCACAATTATTTTTACACCAGCAAGAAGGCCTTTAAAGCACGCTATAGGAATCAATAATATTCTTTTTAGAGAATGCACAAGGACTCGTTGCAGTCCTTGTGCATTTAATTATTGGTAAATATGTATTCTAATAATGCTTTACCTATAAAGTGAGGATGTGTTCACACTTGAAGTTTGGTTCTCTAGTTCAGCGGTTCACACTGTCATTTATAAGACCACTCATATTGAACTGTAAAGCACAGTAACTTATATGCCTTGAAAAAAAACAGGTATCCTTTTAGCATTCTTTGCTGTTTAGGTTCACATAGTTTCATGCTACTTTCTGCCTTTTGGTCCACTCATTTGTCTTTGGTCCATTAGCATTCATATTTCAGTCAAACTGCACCAAAGTTTGTTTGGAATTGGACCGAGACCTTTCTTTTCAGAGGTTTTGGTCCAGATGTTTTGTGCACATCAGGGAAGCATTCACATTTTTTCAGAATAACTGCACAAACAAAACCACTGCACCAGAGTTTATTTTAAATCAAACTAAACTTACCCAGTGTGAACACACGCTACAGTGTAAGTATATAGAGTATTACTCACAACCACGTGTTCAACATTTAAATCCATGTAGTTAAAGTTTACAAATTTCCCTCCAAAGTAAAGCTCTCTGAACAATATCCTAAATAACACTACAGACATACTAAAGAGCTCCTATTATGCATTATAAAAGGTCATAGTTTGTTTTTTGTCGTGACAAAATGGCTAATAAATCAAGATAAGGCCCAATTGCTTAATTCAGGGATTCTCAACCCGTGGGTCGCAAACCACATATTTAACACATCTTATTTTTTACAACATTTTATAAAATATAATTAAATATGGGATATATAATAGTATATATTTCATTTATTTTTTAAAATGCACACATTCAAAGCTCCTAAATTCTTAAGGTATTTTTTTACAACTGCAGAGTATTTGGTCCTTTTTTTTTAAATAAATGAACCTGACAGGACAACAAGAGAATTTGAATTGGACTGACTACTATACATCTATTAATCATAACTATTAAAAATAAACAAAAAGTAAAATACAGTAAAAACAATCTAAATCTGTTGAAACACATTGATCTGAAGGCGGTTGGGTTTTTAGGATATTATTGGAATTCACTGACAGTAGTGAACAGCTGTTCACTAAAACACCACAGAGTCTCACTAGATCCTCCTGTATGGGCATGCGTCTGTTATAAAACACTCACACTTACATTATTAAACAATAATTTGGACAATGCTGATATTTTAAAGAAAAATCTTCGGAGAAGGAAGTTGGCCCCGAAGTGAAAAAGGTTGAGAACTCCAAGCATAAATGACTCTGAATCAATGTTTTTTTTTTTTTTTTTTTTTTTAGAAAGAGAGAGAGAGAGAGAGAGAGAGAGAGAGAGAGAGAGAAAATCAGCTTTATACATGGTGCACTTTCAGATTTAAGCCTCAGATGAATGTTTTAATTCACTTGTACACTGCATGTGGCCCTTTAATAAGAAATAAACAGGGTGTTTATGAAACTGACTAACAATTGAATCAGTTTGAATTCCAAACTTCCTATTTAAATATGGTAAATATCAATAGAGTGTCAATAGCCAATTGTTCTGGGCTGTGTGTGTGTGAAATAATTCACTATCTCTCCAGAGATTTAATGTACAACACTGGTCTGAGATCAGGCTTGCTCTTTCACTGGCGCTAGATTTATTTAAAACAGAGCAGATGTTAGAGAGAATCTGAAGAGGTCTTTCAACAAACAAGCAATTAGCACAACAAATGTAAAGGTGATATAAGTGTTTTTGATATAAGGGGCGGGATTATAACAGACAGAAATATACAGTCGCTGTAAATACTCTGCTACTTGTAGAAGAAATAATGAAACAAAGCATTATAATTCCTTCATTAAACATTAAAATCATGTTAACAGTCCTAAAATCTGGAAATCAAGTGCACATTGCACTTCTGGCAGAAAATGTAGAAATATATATTTTTAAATGGCTTATTATTGTAAAGCATAAAGTAATGGGGTTTACACATCCTTGATATATTTTCCTACATTCATGCTTTTTAAGTCTTTATATGTAGATATTGTAGATGAGACCGCAAAGGTACCAAAGAATACTCATCAAACTTGTAGATTTTAAATACAAACTCAAGGAAGTATTGGAAGCTTACAGGTGGTTATATGAAAGACACGGTAACACGTTACAATAAGGTTCATTAACTAATGCATTTACTAACATGAACTAATCATGAACAACACTTGTACAGCATTTATTAATCATAATTGAACATTTACTAATGCATTATTAACATTTAGGTCCATGTTTGATAATAACATTAGTTAATGCACCATGAGTTAACATAAACTAACAATGAACAACTGTATTTTCATTAACTAACGTTTATTAACATGAATAAATACTGTAGTAAATGTATTGTTCATTATTTGTTCATGTTAGTAAAAGCATTACTTTACATTAACTAATGAACCTTATTGTAAAGTGTGACCATAGACACATAATGGGATCATAGTTTGTTTGTTTTTTTATTTTTGGCAGTTACCTTAATCAAAGGATGTGTAAGATCTTTTCCTGGTCACAAAGCTTTTTTAACAAAGTGGTTTTATCAGTGTGCCTGGCCATATGCAGAAATTGCAATTGCATTCTGATGCCAGAAAACTCGATTTCACCAAATAATTTGCATAATTAATGTTAAAAAAATATATATATTTCATCTTTACTATTTTTGTATTATCTTTAAAAAATTCTTTCTTTTCATTTGCAAAGTCATTAAACAGGCATGTTCCTGTCTTTGAAAGTATTGCTGTCTGCTGCTTTATATAACCCTGTGTATACAATTAAAGACAAAATTCGCTCCTGTCAGCTCATGTAAGTTGTTTATTCTTTATAAATATCTTAGAGATATTTCCCATGTGATGTTTAACACAGTGATGTTTTTAACACAATTTTAATCATAAGTAATAATTATGTTAATTAATTAATTTCTAACAACTAATTTCTTTTGTTTTGCCATGGTGACTGAAAATAATGTTTTACAAGTTATTTAGCAAAATACCAGCATTCCAATACCAGCTTAACGGTGTTAATTAGGCAAGTCATTGGACAACAGTTATTTGTTCTGTAGCCAAAAAGGGAAAAAAAGATTTCTTGAGGGGGAAAACAATACTGCTATTAGCCATTTTAATTTTTCAAAAACTATTCTCATTCCAGTCAAAAAAATGAAACAATACTTTCTCCTGAGGAAATACTGTGACAAATATGTCCTTGCGCTGTTAAACAGCTCTTGGTAAATATTATATATTCATTCATTCATTAATTTTCTTTTCAGCTTAGTCTTTTTATTTATCTGGGGTCACCGCAGCCGAATGAACCACCAACTTACTCCTTCCAGCTGCGAACCAATCACTGGGAAACACCCATACACTCTTATTCACACCCATATACTACGGTCATTTTAGCTTACTAAATTCTCCTATAGCACATGTGTTTCGACTGTAGGGGAAACCGGAGCACCCGGAGGAAACCCACACGGGGAGAACATGCAAACTCCAGCCAGAAATGCCAAATGACCCAGCCAGGGCTCAAACCAGCGACTTTCTTGTTGGGAGGCTAAATTGCTACCCACTGCGCCAATCTAAATAATATATAGTCTTTTCTATATGTATATATTATAAAAAATTTGTCTTCAGCTGTATATCTCTTTTCTTAATACACTGCAAACTTCAGCACACTAGAAAGCTTGGGCAAAACCAATGCACACACATTTCAATCTAATCACTGATCATAAATCCTTTTCCCATTTGTGTATGTTTATATATATATAAATGATTTAGTGCGTTGTACTGACCTCATCCACATTCTCAAAGGCGTTGATGACGTCATAAGGCAGACAGGACAACAGGTCAATCACAAACCATGTTTTCAAGTAATTCATGCGAATCAGTTTGGGGTCTGAAATGACTTCCCCGGCCGGGCCCACAAACGTCGTGTGGAAATTCAGCACAATGTCCACCAGAAAGATCACATCCACTATACTGTCCACCACTAGCCAGGTGACGTTGTTCTGTTTGGTCTTGAAGGAGACGTTGTAGGGCACCATGATGGCTGTGTAGAAGGTGAGGATGAGGATCACCCAGTCCCAGGTGGTCTTGAAGGCACAGTAGTGCAGGATGATGTGAGGAGGGGTTTTGGGTGTCTCTTGTTTGTACTGGGGCAGAATATCAGAGCCCAGCTGGAGAACCTGCGTGTGAGACAGAGAGAAAGCGGATGGTCGTTTATCTGAGCAGAGACAACGGGGAATGATCTGTCTCGACTCTAATGCTCCTTATAGGGGTCTTACCTCAGGGAAAAATCACATGCTATAAAACATCTCATCTGTTTAATAGATACAGATGAAGCCCTGTCGTTGACTAAAATATGTTTTTAATGGACATTTTGAATAAAGCTTGATAGAATTAATGTATGTTGCCATTATATTACTGTATGTATGATTGAAAAATTAATGGAGTGTAACGGAATAGAGACTATTGGTATTCTGGTGAAAAAACAAACAAACAAACAAAAAACCTATGGTAATTTTTTGATAGCACAATATTTTATTAAGTTTACAGAGATTTCTGTTAAACCTAATCACAATGCAGTGTATTATAACATTCAAAATGCAGGTAAAACACCTATATTTTATAATTAATACAGAAAATTTGTTCATAGTAAAACTGTATATTATCAAAGTCCCTTTAAGGCAAGTCATTTCATATGTATGTAAGCTCTGGCATTCTTTTTAAATGGGGAAACATCAAATTTTCCAAAACTACTTGCCAAGCTTATGATTAAATTTCATGTTGAGAGTCACCAATAAAATTAAACAACAACTGTCTCTTTAGTTTCATTTCTAGATGTCCAAATCACACAAAATCTGCAGAAACTTACGTCTAGTCCTAGCCCCTCCTTCGGAGTACCGTCAGTCTATAGCGATTGATGTTTGGCTACTGTACTAGAAGGCGGGCTTATTCGCCAAGTAGCAATCGACGATTGGCTCCTGTACTAGAAGCATACCTGTCAACACTCCCGTTTTCCCAGGATTCTCCCGTATTTTACAGTTCTATCCCTCTATGATCTCATAAAGGTATTCTCCCGTATTTTCAGTCTTTCTCTGAAGGGTGGCAAATAAACATTAAAGAGTCAAGTTTCCATATACGCAACCCATACCACCGAACTAAAAGGGGCCGCCCCTTGCTCCTAAATGTGAATCTGTTCTGTGCTTTTGCTTTGACTAGGCACGAAAACACTTTGAAATAAACATAAAAACGGCGCAATTCCCCTTCCTTTTCATTACAAGTGTCGTCTCCCGTTCATATGCAATCCTCAAAACAGTCATATAGAGGTGCATGACGGTCAGCTGACACACTCCATAGTGATAAACAGACGCAGTTTCCCAAATGGATTCTGTACTCTTGATTTGAAGCGGAGCAAAAGTCTGGGTTTTGGGTGTGTGTTTAAACAGACATATACACATAATTAATAATATTAATATCTAAAGATGTTGATCTTGGTGAGATTTTTATTTTTCAACCACAAGTAATTTCGTCCTAAATGAGCATAAACAGTTAGGAAAGCAGTCGAATGCTTTCATTATAATGTTATTTAATGTAATCAAATGGAAAAAAATATCTAAATCAGATTTTCAGATCAGCTAATCAGAATGTGTACGTTATACAGTGAAGAAACGGCTAATGAGATTTGATTCTATTTCATTATAATAACTATTAATTTTAATAAGCCGAACTGTTAGCTAATTTATTTGCTGCTGATGTATACTATTTATTTTTCTTTTGTAAATATAATAAAACATATTACTGACCATTTAACTGTTTATTTACAATGAAACAGCTTCAAGAGAGCATATTTAGTAATTTGGGGATTTTTAAAGGGGGTTGGGGGAATCCCTTATTATGGTGGGCATATCCCTTATTTTCACATACCAATGTTGACAGGTATGACTAGAAGGCAGGCTTTATTTGCCATATTGACTGTTGCGCTACATTAAAAACAATACAAGTGACATGTCTTGTGTATTTTATAGTCTTTGATATTACAGTATATACTGGGTTTCTGAGGAGTATAAAAAACATTTTAGAATTATATGTGTTTTTGTATACTTTTACAGGTTTATTTTCCACTGTCAACCCTTTAAAGGAATACAGTAGTTCATCCAAATATTCTGCCATCATTTACTATTTCAAACTCTTCCCTTGTTTAAAACCTATTAGAGTTTCTTTCTTCTTTCTTCTGTTGAATACAAAAGAAGATATTTTTAAATAGTGCTGGTTGCTGGGGCCCATTTTTTCCCAGCAACCAGCATTCTTCAACATATCTTCTTTTTTGTTTAACAAAAAAATAATAAATAATGAGGTTATTTTCATTTTTGGGCAAATTATTTATTTAAATGTATTTTATTTTGATTGTAAAGTAATAATGTGCACGTTTTGCTGTTGGAACAATAATAATTGTGATAATTGCAATACAAATAAATTTGAATATACTTAATTTGAATTGAATTTTAGGCTAAGTTAAAACATCAGCAATTACCAATTAATACAAATTCTTATAATTAATTTTATCAATTATTTACATTTATCCACAGCCATATCACCCTGCAACTCAAGACCGGTTACTCACTAAATGATAGTAGGGCTGAGCCTGGTCAGTACCTTGATGGGAGATCATATAGGAAAGCTAGGTTGTTGTTAAAAGTGGTGTTAGTGAGGCCAACAGGAGGTGCTCAATCTGCGGTTTGTCCTGATGTCCCAGAAAAGTGAAGGGGACACTATACTCTCAGTGAGAGCCGTCTTTTCCAATAAGACGTTAAACCGAGAACTCTCTGTGGGCATTAAAAAATCCATGGCACTTCTCGTAAAGAGTAGGGGTGTAGTCCCAGTGTGCTGACCAAATTCCGGCCTTTACCGATCACGGCCTCCCAATCATCCGCATCCACAGAATTGGCTGTATCACTGTCTCTCCACTCCACCCATAGCTGGTGTGTGGTGAGCGCACTGGAGCCGTTCATCAGAGGCTGCAGTCGCATCATCGAAGTGGATGCTGCACACTGGTAGTAGTGTGGAGAGACCCCCCTCATGATTGTGGAACGCTTTGAGTGTACACAATAAATGCGCTATATAAATACACATTATATTTCAATGTAGTGATTTAATTTTATGCACTAATTAAAATTTTTATCATTTTAAATTTTTAACATTTAGTAGCCGTGCTCACTTTTTCAAAGTCATTGACTGGAGCAGATCATACACAGTTTGGTCATATTATTTTGCAGTGTATTGTCTACTGTCGCCATGGATTGCGTAACTAATACAAAACTAATCTGGCAGCTCCACTGCATGACAGCTTTTCTGTGATATCGATATAATTAGCTAGGCCTAGAATAGAAAGTGCTAAAATGTATCATATGTTACAGATTAATTCATTATGGGGCATTCTTGGCTGCCTTATTTAAAATATTATATTGTCTTCTTCGCATTTGGTGGCATTATTTTCCCCAAAATCCCCAACCCTGCTCTGTAAAGCGCTGAAAAACTCCCCACACATCTTATTAATCTCCCTGCAGGAGGAGTGTGTGAATACTGGAATCACACAGTGAGAGGGGATCGCTGTCCTAGTGTTAGTTTAATCTTTGACACAGATGGATGCAAACACATGCTGACACACACCAGAATCACTCACAGGCGTAAAATGAAATGTATCAGTCTGGTGCACACACACAGAGACGTACCTCTGCAAGGCGCGAGTGTTTATGTACATTCTCTCCTTTATGTACGGTGGGCTGCAGTTGCTGAAGGACCCCTCTACTGCTGGTCAAAGCCCTGGTCAGACGCGCAAACTTCCCCCAGCCTGAACACAGAAACACATAACTAAACATTCAAAGTCAAATGAGCTGATTTACCTGCATTAAAATACACCTACCTTTAGAGGAGTCATCTTCTATTGGTTGCTTGAATGCTGTGATGTCACTAAACGTACACAGGAAGAGTACGACCTTCTCCTGTTCGTTTCGTATAGGGGCTATTTTCACAAAAAACCATACCGGCGTTCCTGGAAGCACACAATTTAACACTGCCTAAATCTCTGAAAGTCGGCATGCCAGTAAAAACCAAGAAGTAAAAACCATCTTGGCTCTGTTTTACACATTTATGCATATTCATAAAGATATTAGCATATCAGATTTATGCAACAAGATTGCTGTGTCTCTGTTTCCAATCCTGTGTGTGCATGTGCATGTGTGTGTGTGATCCTCACTGTTTTTCTTGTACATCAAGATCTCAAACGAGTTCATCTCATAGTTTTCGAAGGTTAGTCGAACTTTTTCACTTGTGTCCTTGTCTGTGAGCTCTCCATACATGAAGCTGAGAGAGAAAAGACAAACAAATCACAAATCAGTTCATTTTCGATCTGTTTTTGAGATGTACTGGGATTATATTGTAAAGAAATTGGCAAAATGGCATTATTTTGGAACACACAAAAATGGGAACTTTAGCAGAATGTTCATGCTGTCTTTTTTATAAGATTGAAGGTCACCAGTCACTATCAAACTCAAATCAACTTCTATAATATAGCTAAAAGCAATCACGTGTTATTCTGCAAGTTTCCGAAGCCATACAAAAGCATCATTGACAACATATGGTGAGATGGGCTGTTTTTATAGTCCTTTTGAAGCTTTACAGCCCCAGGTCACTATTCAGTTTGACTAAGAGTTACAATACTAAATTTCTCCTTTGTGTTCTACAGAGGAAAGAAAGTCATAGAGGTTTAAAATAACCTGGGGGTGAGAAAATGGCCAAAACATTCATTTTTACCTTCTCTTTTATGATCTCTAGAGGTTTTACAAGGAAAATAATAGATGGACCTGTTACTTTGTGGATCTGTTGACCCGTGATGGGTGAATATGATCAAACATTACTGAAAAGTCCAGCTTTGCTTTACTGTGATAAAAGGGCATGAAGAAAGGAATGATACAAATGTGTTTCTATATGACTGTAGCTTTAATGAGCTTGTCTTGTGTTTGGCATATCAGGGACAAGTCAGAGTTCAAAGCTTGCTGGCAACTATTAAACCACAATCCTGCAGACACTTTTACTCTGAGTATATTTCTTTAGCATCAGCATCAACTGGTAATTGGGAATAGGAAATTGCACAAGGAGAATAAAACAGAATACAATTAGGTTAATAGGTTTATAATTAGACTGTGCTTGTTATTGTACTACTTCAAATAATATTTGGTGCACTAATTCTTTGTTTGATCAAATATACAGTAAAAGAAATTGTGAATATATAATATATAGTTGAAGTCTGAAATATTAGCCCCCCTGAATTATTAGCCCCTGCTTATTTTTCCCCTATGTCTGTTTAACGGAGAAGATTTTTTTAAACACATTTCAAAACATAATAGTTTTAATAACTCATTTCTAATAACTGATTTGTTAATCTTGATGGCATGATGACAGTCCATAAAATTTAACTAGATATTTTTCAAGACACTTCTATACAGCTTAAAGTGACATTTAATAGCTTAACTTGGTTAATTAGGTTAACTAGGGCAGGTTAGGGTTATTAGGCAAGTTACTGTAGAATGATGGTTTGTTCTGTAGACAATCAGAAAATATATGCTTAAAGGGGCTAATAATTTTAACTTTAAAATGGTTTTAAAAAAATTAAAAACTGCTTTTGTTTTAGCTGAAATAAAACAAATAAGACTTTCTCCAGAAGAAAATATATTATCAGATATACTGTGAAAATATCCTTGCTTTGTTCAACGTCATTTGGGAAATATTTAAAAAAGGAAAAAAATAAAATAAAAGGGGGCTAATAATTCTGATTTCAACTGTAAATATAATTTTATTTTAAAATGATAAAAATGTCTTTGCTTTTACTTTTTGTTCAATCTAATGAATCTTTTGTATTGTTACTTTTGTTCAGTGTAATGCATCTTTTTGAGATTTTTTTTTTATAAAGATTAAGTTAAACTTTAAATGAAAAGTGTGCTGAAAATGTATAATTGGTAAGATATTTATTTCAAAGAACTCTTGAAATGTAGATATTATTTAATTATTTTGCAAGCGTCTTCATATTTCACTCAACCTAGGGTGTTATATTATACTCCACATTGTATTGTATTGCATATTGTAATTGAATATTGTACCGCATGTATCCAGGCTTGTACTATTGTATTATTGTCATGCTTAATTAAATGTAATACTATACTACAATATAGTACTATATGACGGGGGTTCCCAAACCTTTCAGCCTGCGACCCCCCATAATTAACAATGACAGTGACTCGCATCTCCCAATATCCTCTGAGGTGGTTATCAATATGCAAACACAAAATGGCTCACACATAACAAATAGGCCCAAGCCTATTCTTTGCTTAATTTTGGAGAATGCCACTCAGAGATCATCCTCCATGTTCAATCATGGCCTGTATTTAAATATAATGTAAAGGTGCCATAAAGGTGTCAGAAAGTTTACCTTGGTGCCATGAAATCAATCTGTTTCATCTGACCCTATTGCTGTGTCTTTAATCTAACATAATGACACCCCAGGGGTCGCAATCCAATAGAAAAAATGTGTATTGTTTTATAAATATTAATTACTATTTTTATCTTCGGTAGCATATGGACAAAAAAAGCTCATTCTAACAGTTTCATAAAATGAATTTGAGGTTTGGAAATCACCAAGCAACCCGCTAACCCCCGAGGGCTCCCGACACCCACTTTTCAAAACCATTGCTATATTGTGTTATCTAATATAGTGTGTTATCTAATACATATTTTAAACTGTGAATCTTCTTATTCACCAATACATTTTTATTCTGTCTTTCTTTTCTTTTTACAGAGAAAATATCATAAATATGATGCACAATATATCTGTTACCTGCAAGTGCTGCTTTTCTGCATGACTTCAGCACGGTGGTAGCCGGAGAGCTTACAAAAGCCATCATTGCTGTAAACGATGGGCCAGTCTACGATCTGAGCATTCCCCAACACAAAGTTCGTGTCTGTGGAAAGAGCACAGGAGGGCATGGGGAGGAAGCAGGTGAGAGGAACCAGGCACAAGGTGATGGGTAAGAAAGCTAGAGGTCGTTCGCTGTGGTGATGTCTCATGAGGCAGGATGGGTGAACACTGTCATGGCAGTCAAAAGCCAATGATTCAACTTATTAATGACAATACTGAGCATTTTATATTGGTCTGTGCATTGCATAACCCACTCTCACGTTATAATGCAGCAACTCAACTAAAATAAAAAGTTTAGATCTTGTTTATGTTTAGAGTTTGCAGTTCTCTGGCCAACAGGACTTTTTGCTTGTGAAGGTGAAGAGAAAGAAGTATATATGGTTGTTTCAGCCTCCAACAGCCCACAAACCACCCACAGACTGCTCTGATCTATATATTGTATATTTTTAGGGGAGATCTGGCTGAAAACAGTGGTTTAAATATAAGAGATTCACTTCTCTGCACTTTGTGAATGTCAGGGTTTATAGGTTTGTGCCTAAGGGTTTGTGTACATGACAATGATGTGCTAAAAACAGAAAAGATTCACATGTGGATGACAGCTCTGTCAAAATGATCCCCATTCACATGGATATGCCAAAATAACTAAAATGTTGTATAATGCATGCAAGGGTCCCTTAGTAAAGAAGCACAAAACACATCTGCACATAAAATATTGCTTTTGTACAGAAATTTACATTAAGACCATTTCAAAAATTATTCAAATTTAAATAAAATTATAAATGAATAATTATTCATTATTCAAATTTAAATGAATAAAATTTTCCATTTTTAGTTAAAATGATTGTCATGTACCTTAAGATGCTAAAATTCTCAGCTTTTAACGATTCTTTAAGACAATTGTAAGCAATAAAATGAGATATGCTTGATCAGACCTGTATATCCCTTCATTTTTGAATACTACAGTTATTTCTGCTTCAAATTAACATAAAAAATAAGCTGTTTTTAGTTAAACGCTGTTAAATTTCTGGATGTTTTTACCATGTTTTATGCTAAATTTATGGTAATTAACCAGTTTGTGGCTTACATTACCATTCAAAAGTATGGAGTCAAAAAATGTAATTGTTTGAAGATGACAGTGTTGCATAATTTCTACAAAAGATTATTATTTCTAAATAAATGCAGCTATTTTGAACTTTTCAATTAAAAAGGGTAATATAAAACTATTTAATCATGATGTCTTCATAAATTATAAAGCAACACTTTATTGATGGACACTTTGTAAAGTAACTTCTTGTTAACTACATGTTAAATTATTCTAATTAGAGAGTTTGTGTTCTGTTAGGGTAAGTAGAATAGGTTAACTCAGTTTTAGTAGACTGCCTGTCGGGAAAACATCAAAACAGAGAGTTAGCAGACATAAGGAGACAGTACTGACTCTCGCTTGACTGTTAGTTGACATGTAGATGCAAAATTACTAAGTCAACAGATTGTTTAAATGAAATACACAAAGTGAAGTATTACCAAAAGTCTTACTAACCCCAAATGTTTGAATGGTATACAGTAACTAAATTATGGTGAAATAGATATATATATATATAAATATACAGTTGAAGTCAGAATTATTAGCTCCCCTTTGATTTTTTTTCTTTTTTAAATATTTCCCAAATGATGTTTAACAGAGCAAGGGAATTTTCACAGTGTTCATTCATTCATGAATGGTTAGTCCCTTTATTAATCCGGGGTCGCCACAGCGGAATGAACCGCCAACTTATACAGCAAGTTTTTAACGCAGAGGAGGCCCTTCCGGCCGCAACCCATCTCTGGGAAACATCCACATACATCCACTCATTCACACACACTCATACACTACTGACAATTTAGCCTACTCAGTTCACCTGTACCGCATGTCTTTGGACTGTGGGGGAAACCGGAGCACCCGGAGGAAACCCCCGCGAACTCAGGGAGAACATGCAAACTCCACACAGAAACGCCAACTGAGCCAAGGCTCGAACCAGCGGCCCAGCGACCTTCTTGCTGTGAGGCGACAGCACTACATTTTCACAATGTGTCTGTGAATATTTTTTCTTCTGGAGAAAGTCTTGTTTGTTTTATTTCATCTAGAATAAAAGCAGTTATTATATTTTTTAAAACCATTTTAAGGTCGAAAATATTAGCTCCTTTAAGCTATATTTTTATTCGATAGTCTACAGAACAAACCATCGTTTTACAATAACTTGCCTATTTACCCAAGCCTGCCTAGTTAACCTAATTAACCTAGTTAACACACAGCTAAAACACACAACCTCAGACTCTGGATATCTTCACAAGTATCTCGAAAAAGTATTTTCATCATCCAAATGTACAAATGGAGTTATTGCATGGCTCTGTTTTTGTCATTCTGGAATGCAGAATCACACCGACAACTTTTACTTGTGAGTGAATTTCCCAAAACTCAGTAGTGCTGGAGTCCTCAGTAAAGGACTCCATCTCTGTAACCTTGCTTTAACCTTTCCTGTGATGTCTGTCAATGTTAGTGTGGTAGTGGCTAGCGTGTTAAGCAGGCTATCAGGCTGATTGGCTGACAATAGTGATTTAGCGGTTGCTGAGTAAGCCTGTAGCACTTTTAACAAAGTGTGTCTCAAAGCTTGAGCAAGCTCACGGTAACACTATACAACCTGTAATCCGATATAAGAGAATTAAAAACATCTAGTCAGTCACAAATGAAGGCCAGTGAAGACCTTTTCTGTATTTAAAAGCAATAAATTGGCTTCATATAAGCATTGTCTTTGTAAAATGAAGACTGTAAAGAATATCCTGACTTTCATTAGTCTTGCAATCAGTATGAGCATACAATAGCGTTCAAAAAAATGTTGGATTTCATGCAATCAATGTCACAAATTTGTTTGTTTGAGCTAGTATAGGCTCTTAAAGGGATAGTTCACCCGAAATTCTGTCATACTTTGCTTGTTTTCAAGCTTTACGGGTTTCTTCCCTCTATTAAACACAAAAGAAGCTATTTTCCTACTATGGAAGTTAATGGTAACAGGTTTTCAGCTTTCTTCAAAACATCTTTTTTATGTTCAAGAGAAAAATGAAAGTCATAAAGTTTTGGAATTGGAACCACTTGAGGGTGAGAAAAATAGCCGGTAGATTTTTTTTTTTATTTGATTATTAGCTGATTTAAATTTAATTGTCAATTTCAGACTTTTGAACCACATTTTAGCTACATTTTACCTAACAAAATATAATATTTTAAATAAAACAAAATAATTGCACAGCTAATGCAATTAACACAAATAAACTTTCGTTTTAATATACGTCCTTCACCTCATTCAGACATAACATGAATGCCGACATTTTTCACTTTAACTGCACATATGACAGAAACACAGACACACACTTCATCTTTCTACGGCTAATGCTTATGGAGGGTTAATGTGAGATGAGCAAAAGTCCTAACAAACAGAAAATGGGTGGGCAGCATCAGAATCAGAACTGAAGGATAACTCAGATCTAACAGATCAACTGATTTAAGAGCATGGTGGTGGATTTGCCACAAAGCACAGTTCTCCTCTACTGAGCAAAAACACGGGGAAGTGCACTTCACACTGAAACAAGCACGCACACGTGGACTCACACGCACCACTATGGAGGAAAAACGTTCCATGCCAACATTTGTTATTTTACAGCAAATGCTGTCAGCGCTGAATGAGGACCAGGAAACAACATCTGCATGGTTTTTTTCACCGTATCTAAGCAGCTTTAAAATATCAACAGCACTGTTGAACCACGTTAACGCTAAACCACAAAAGAGTTTGATCAAACTTGTTGTTAAAATTAAGACTTATCAGTTTGTAAATTAACAGAAATTGGTATAGAACAAGACTAAATGTCGAAAGGGAACTACGAGAGAGAGAGAAAAAGAGAAAGGGAGGAGGAAAAGAGAGAAAGAGAGGCAGAGGAATAATGGCGGGATGGAGGAGGTTTAAGCACAAGTGTTCTGCTCAGTGAGGTTTATACCTGTGTGTCTATGTGATAATGTCCAAACTGGAAGTTAAAGAAAACAGAAAAACAGTTAAATAATGCATACACCATATAAGAAGAGGAATTCATCCTCTTCTTCTTCCCCAAGACGATCAAACAACCCTTTGAGACCAAGTGGGTTATAAAGACATCAATGTTTATAAAAGTCCTAATGAGATGAGAAGTACACATTTTCGATAAATCTGAAGACTGAACACAAGCAGTGCTTAAGTGGATAGAGCAGATGTGGTGTTCAGTGGACATCTTGTTTTAAAAAGCCATTTTGACTAATTAAACTGCATAAATAAGCAAAGCAGTCCAGAAGGATAAACATCAATAAGAGAGATCTTTGATTCTATTTTGGGGAACATATAGAGGATGCAAGAACGCAGTCTGGTCTCAGGAAGTGCTGGTGAAGATCCTTCGCCAGTTTTCAACCTTTCAGCACTCTTAAATATTAATTGCTATTAAATATTCATTTAACCTAAAGTTGTTCTCTATCCTACAAAGCATGCTGATGGACGGATGTATGAGAACAACTCAAATGGGAAAGAACAGCACAAGCTGTCACGCAGAGAACAGTCACGAACTGAATTAAATCTCAACGCTATGCAAACCATTACACTTTTTAAATATTTGTATAATCATTCAAATGGTCAAAAACTGATATAAAAATTAATTATCAAATACGATTTTTTTCATATATAAAATCAAAAAAATTACTGAGTATACAACTATTTATTTAACGACTAGAAATCGTCGTTCCAGTAAAACGTGTTCTCTACAGAATCAATGCACCTGCATCATGTTTTCCTCCCTCGTGAACATACACCTTTCACTTCTGGCGTGTAATTGTGGAACTATACAGTTAAAAGTACTTTGTTTTAATGTAAAAGACTATAATCTATTTATTGAAAAGTTTGTGCCTTCTTTCTTTTATCTGCGACACTACTCTTTCAGTGTGTGCGCTGGTTTGGATGTGGAGGTGCGTCTTACCGTTAGACCGTCGGACAATATTTTCCAGAAAAGTGTTCTGAGGAGCCACTAGTCCTCTGCGTCCCCCGGCCATCACGGCGGGTCATGCGCTCCACTGAGAGCCCGGACCGGTCAGCGCGTCTCCGGTGAGTCTGTCGTCCACATGCCGCTGCCGCATCCAGTGATGTGTGGACCCGGGGCTCCTCGCGCTTTCCTCTCTCCTCCACCCCACTGATCCTCCGCTATAGCAGGCATAGTCTGGCGAAACAGCGCCATCTATTGACGAGTGAAGTAGCGTGTGTTCCGATGTAAATCAATAGATGGCGATGCACGCTTTTGCAACCGTTCTAAAATCTACTGTTTTTAATCTGCTTTTAATCTCTTATCGCCATCTGCTGGTATATTTCAAACACATTTTAATGATCTGAATGATATGGACATGATATAGCCCCCCAAAAAATAAAAATAAAAACAGTCGCTTAATTACCAATGAATGCTGCTAGGTTTGTGTAATGGTTCGGAATATGTTCAAAACCCTCAATTACAAATTCAGCAATACATTTTCCTTTATAACTGCCGAATAATAATACGCAAACTATGAAATTTCTTTAAATTTCATCATCCAATCAGGTTTAGATTACAGTAGGCTAAAACACACATGCAGAGTTAACCTGAGTTAAATTGCAATGCAGATGTTATTATCACCCAGACACCTACAGCTATCTTGGCTTCCTACATAACATTAACTTTGTGGTCGTTAACATAAAAAAGGTAAATATAATGTTAAACAAAAAAGGGCCCCAGACCTGTATCGGTTATATAAGCTGCATCATTAAAATGTCAGCAAGGTAGTCTTTAGAGATAGGGCATTCTGTCACCTATTAAAACTGCAATTCAATTAAAATCTGGCTAAAATGAATCAAACTTGTTATAGATTTGATTGTGGTTTATGATATGAAGTCTGGCGCCTTCTTACCAGATGAAAGTACATAAGACAAATGACCAAATAATGACCAAATCTCCATGCATGGTGACAATAGAACACAATAATTATTAAAAAAAAAAAAAAGAAAAGAGATGTTTATAGCAAAGTATGACAGCAGAAGTGTAGTTTATTGGTGGTTACATTGTGAAGAGCTCAAAGTTGAGTGGACTCTGAGCAAAATAACTTTGCCTTATCAGTTAAAATATCATTTTGGGGGTAATACAAAGTTAGATCATAATATTCTATAAAAATGTAAACATCATAAACTGTGTTTGCATTTAAAAATACTGGTTGTGCCTGATTAATTTTTATTTAAATACATTTCATGGTTAAATAATACTTTTGATCTAGTTCACTTTCTGAGACAAAAACTTTTGCTTACAAAAACATGCTTTTAAAGTTCCATGTGGTTTTAAGTTTAAAGCTTTTTAACCCTTTTGGGGCAATTTATTCTGTAATGTAACAAGAATGACACACTTAACACAATAAACACCAACATTTACCATCAAATAAACAAACCAAAACCTGAAAGAAAAAAAGAGAAGAGAAAAAAAACTAAAAAAAATAATAATAATAATGAATCAATAATAATATTGTATATTAGAATATAATAAATAATAATACTATAATAATAATAATCCATTAATTAACTACATTTATAATGTAACTGAATTGCTTTAGGCACAAAAGTAAATTTGGTTTTGATTTTTTTTTTATTGTTATGACTAAAGACATAATTCACTATTGCAATTTGAACCCTCAATCTAAATTAGCCCAAACAATGCAATACGGTGGCTAAACTCATTATAAAGCACTGCTTGTTGCTTGTATATTTATGGAAGTTTTTGATGATATAATATTCAGTATTTCCCATTTTGAGTGCAGCCTTTGAAAACACAATAAGATTTGACCTTTTGATCCACCGGCAATCAAATGTAGAACAGTACATGTAGTTATTGACCTTTACCACTCCGCCACTTGATTATCACTGCAACCAGAAAGTTTGACTGGTCTGATATGATTTCATTTAATAAAATATAAATATACCCTATTGCCGGTGCAAGGTACTAAGGATTTCATTAATTTAATCTATCAATCGTCACATTCAGATGTCAGTCATTTTAAGCTGTAGATTTATGTGCAACATTACGTAAATTATCAAAATAGTTATCTTCTATCTAAGCTCAAAGTGAGATGTTTATCTTATCAATGAGACAAGCTGCAAATCTTCAGAAATCTTAATGACTTTAATCATTCTCAGCATCTGTAATCATATCTAATCAGATTCAAGATTTGCACTCTTGATCTCTAACCACGCATGTTGACAAAGATGGGTTAAATATTGAGTGCGTGCCAATGAGGCACTAAGATAATTGGCTTCAAAATTAAAGTTTAAAGTCAGCACTCATTTAAAATTAATTACATTCTTAGTTTTATAAATATATATTTATTGGGATTTTCACAATACATACTAAAACTGCATTTCTTCTCTACAACATTTTGGTCACAAAAAAAGGAAATTAAGTAATTAAAACTATCCACTTAGACTAACAGAATTCACAATTCATCAAAGAAATTATGTTTGAAGAAATTTTGCAGCATGGATACAATATATAATTTCTGTTATAGAAACTATGTTTGACTGCTTTATAACTTGTTGTTTTGTCGTTATTGTTAGTTATTTGTTCTGTTGTAGCATTAGGAGCTAGTCTAGAAACTATAAACTTCTAAAACTTTAACAAATGTTTTAATTTGTATAAAGTATTTTTACATTGAAAAACAAAAATAGCTAGTTCCCTTATTTGACGTTAACTCAGCACTCAAATGTGTTGTGTAATACAATCACACCCAATAGTTACTTTGTTGTGTTGAATTTTATGTTTAATTTTTAATTGTAGAAAAAAAAACAAATTCTATTTCAGTACAAATTGTTAAATATTGTTGTCTTTGTTGTTGTTGTTGTTGTTGTCGTTGTCGTCGTCGTCGTTGTTGTTGTTGTTGTTGTTGTTGTTGTTGTTGTTGTTGTTGTTGTTGTTGTTGTTGTTGTTGTTGTTGAAAAGGAAAACAGGAAGAAAAAAATAAAATCCGAATAATAATGAGGGGAAAAGAAAATGGAATCAAGAGTAATAAAAGTGGAAAGAAAATTAAAACCAACTGAATGCAGTCATTCAACATTCACAATCAAATGTTCAGATACATTGTCAATGTTAAAATTAAATATTTACAATTGAACAGTATAAGATACGTTAAATAAAATAATTAAAATTAAAGTACTATGATAAAATATATTAAAATGGAGTGCATCTATTAAATGGAAGGCAAGAGGTTAAAATAAGTTCTAAAACATTGCCATGTCATGTCTTGCAGGACCAAGGTGCTAAATAAATAAACATAATCATAAAAGAGCATTTTATGTAATATATTTTATCAGCTACATTTTATGCCCATATAAAATTCATTTTTAAAACCTATACATATACTGGACCAGTGATCTAACAATTCATAAACTATAAATAGTCGACTACACATACCCTAAGACAGGCTAAACAGAAACAATATTGTGCAAGATATTCTACAGAAGAGGTATTTGAGGTTGAAAAGTAATGTGCTTTTTTTAAGTTTTTGCTAAATTCACAAGTTAAAATTGTTGACCTTATTAGGTCCTTGAAAGATGGAGTTTAAGAAAAGTGTCCGGTGCATATAAAGAGAGAAGTGTTTATACAGTTGGTTTGCCAAGCCCACTTATCTGTGTGAAGGACATTAAAAAATGCACAGTTTTTTTTAAAATATGGAGCGATTGAAAGAACGTGTCTGATGCATGAGATGAAAGAGTGTGTTTACTTCAGGTGGTTTGTCAAGCCCACTCACCTGTTTCAGGCACACTAAGAATTGCATAATGATTTGAGGTTTCTATGCGGTGTGTGTGGTATGGTGGGGAGCTAGCTTGGTTTTTGTAGCTAGGATTATAGATAAGATTTTAGAGGCGGGTAAGGCGATTGGAATTGAGAGCTTGTGGAAATACACTGTTGAGAGAAAGTGCAAAGTAAATATTGTTGTACTTTCTTGGAGAGAGACCTGGTGTTGGTGGTCCAGGTGAGATTCTCTCTGATGTGCATCCCAACAAACTAATACTGCTGGCTCTCTTTACATTTGAGCTTTCCCACATTGAGGGACAGGTTGTTAGTGCCTCACCATTCACCCAGCTGTGCCACTTCCTCTCTGTAGTGCTTTTCAGCATTGTTGCTGATGAGACCAACAGTACCACTGTTATGTCTTCAGCAAACCTGATGATGTGGTTAGAGCTGAACTTGGCAGTGCAGTCATGAGTCAGCAGTGTGAAAAGCAGTGGGCTGAGCACACAGCCTTGTGGGGCACCTGTGCTCAGTATAGTGCTCGAGGTGTTATGGCCGACACAAACTGACTGAGGTCTTCCAGTTAGAAAGTCCAGGATCCAATTGCAGAGGAGGGGTGTTAAGGCCGAGCAGGATGAGTTTTTTAATGAGCTGTTGTGGGATTATTGTGTTGAAAGCTGAGCTGAAGTCACTGAACATCATTCTAGCATAGAAGTCTTTATTTTCCAGTAGGTGGAGGGTAGAAGAAATTGCATGATATACAGAGTGGTTTGGACAGTATGCAAACTGGAGCAGATCGAGTGTGTTGGAGAGGTGGATCTTGATATTGTGCATGACTAACATTTCAAAGCACTTCATCGGGATTGGTGTCAGTGTAACAGAGGCCAGCTAGTAAAGTGCTGTGCAGGTAAACCTTACTCCTCTAAACGCAAAAAGGTGTTCTAGCGACTGACACTAGAGGCCATGGTCTTTAGCCTCCTTGTTAGAGCAACCGACTCCCTTGTGGAAAGTTGCTGGTTCGATCCTCGGAGCAAGTTAGGTGGTGTAGGCCCGGCAGGCTTATATCAGTATATAAGATGAGATGGAAGTCATTTAGGCAGGACACAGGGGATTTCTTTGGTACTGGTATTATTGTTGTAGACCTCAGACATGTGGGGACGACTGCCTGTCTCAGCGAGGTATTGAAGATACTGTAGTTGTTAGGACATATGTCAGCTGTGCAGCACAGTTTTTCAGAACACAGCCAAGTATGTTGTCAGAACCCACAGCCTTGTGTGTGTTAATACTAGATAGGGTCTTCCTCACATCAGCTGGAGACAGACAGAGCACGTGGTCGTTGAGAGGTGAGAGTAGATTTTGTCCTTTTGTTCTGTTTTTCCTTTAATGTAATAGGACAGCAGGATTTTTAGACAGGAAAACAAGTGTAGGGAGCAAACAGAAGTGGAGGGTCGTTAAAGGAGCTTGAACCATGGAATCAAACTCGGGTCACCGTGAACACGTCACACTATGTGTGGGCACATCAACCACAAGACATTTAGAGATGCATTTAAAATGCATATACTGACGTTTGACTTAAAAAATAAATAAAATATCTACTTGTATCTGCTTTATTTTAATGGTAAAATTCTGCTAAATACAGCTGCCATTTTTACAGTAATTCATTTTTACATTTTTCTACATGCCTTTTGTATGCAACAAGTTTTTTTTTGAAGCGACAATTAAAGGAAATACTTACCCAACTAGACAAGTAGCCTAAAACATTCATTCATTCATTAATTCATTCATTTATTCATTCATTCGCTTGGCTTAGTCCCTTTATTCATCAGGGGTCGCCACAGCAGAATGAATCGCTAACTTATCCAGCATATGTTTTACACAGCCCTTCCAGCTGCAACCCAGTACTTTAAAACATCCATACACACTCACATTCACACCAGTGCCTTACAACCAATTTAGTTTAGTTAGTTTAACCAGAGCACCCATAGGAAACACCCGCGAACAAGGGGAGAACAAACTGTGCTAACCACACAGAAATAACAACTGGCCCAGCCGAGACTCGAACCAGCGACCTTCTTGCTGTGTGAAGCAACAGTACTAATCACTGATCCATTGTGCTGCCAAACCTAAAACATCAAACTATGTTTATTCATTCATTTTCTTTCCAGCTTAGTCCCTTTATTAATCTGGGGTTGCCACAGTCGAATGAACCGGCAACTTATCTAGCACGTTTTTACACAGCGGATGCCCTTCCAGCCTCAACCCATCACTGGGAAACATCCTTTTATACCCATTCACACACATACACTACGGACAATTTAGCTTACCCAATTCACCTGGAGGAAACCCACGCAAACGCAGGAAGAACATGCAAACTTCACACAGAAATGCCAAATGACCCAGCCAAGGCTCGAAACAGAAGCCTTCTTGCTATGAGGCGACAGCACTATAACTGCGCCACTGTGTCACCACATCAAACTACAAAACAGCATACTGTTATTGTGATTTTAGTTAAGACTCATGGAGAAATAAAAAAAAATGTTCTTGACTGAAATCCACAAGCTCATAAAAATAAAAAACATAATTTAGTAAATACAGAGTAGGTAATATTAAATTACACATACATTTTACAAACAGCTTTGTCATTGTTAATCATTTTATCTTTATTTCATTAAAGAAAATGCTTCCAAACAAATATCACAGCAGAACAGCTGCACAACCTTAAGCAAAAAGCAATGTCTGGTTACTGAATTATTCATAATATTTGAACAAATCAAATCAGTCAGTGATTACATTACCCAATAATAAAGACACGTTCTTGGTCGACTGAACAGACAAATCAGCTGAATGAAAATCTGAATGCATCATTTTGCCAGTGTCAAGTTCTGAATGTATGAACTGAGTTTTTAACTTTTTTCAGCAGTTCCTTTCTTTAAAAGTGTGTCCTAAAGTATCTTAAAAATGAAATGCCTTTCCAATACTTTCAGACAACAAAACCCATCAGTTATAAAGTCATTTTCAGTCAAACAGTGTGTTATATCATAAGACATAAAACCAGGACTGTAGACTTGATGTCTTACCCATAAAATGTCTCTTAACGTTAACCATAAACACCTTGATAGGTGACAGGCCAGATCTATTTAAATGAATCCCATGAAACACGTAAACTAACAGGAGGCGTGTCTGAGGATTTACAACCATAAATCAGAGCAGGTGTCGCTAAACATTTAAACAGTTTAGTTTCACAGCTGCTCTTTACTCCGGACGGATTCAAGCAAGTGAACCAAGAAGAGAAGCAGGGGATTTTTCCCATGATGGCAATAAAAGATAAAATGTTTTCCTCCTTTGCACAGATTATCATCCTGGCAGTTCTAGCAAGCTGGTGTTCAGCAGGTATTTCATCACTTTTTGTTATTCTGCTCTGCTTCCAATTCAATGCATGACGCTTCTCTAGATTATTTTCTGGCACTTTAATGACTGCTTTCAGACATGGATCTCATTCTTTAGCCAATTGAGAGGTTGATAATTAGTCTGTCATTGAACAGATGTGAGATTTTACATATTTCAAATTTATTATCAGTCCTCTATTTCCACTTCATCCAGCTCAATTTAGAAAAGACGTTTGCAGACGTGTGACTCAAAATGTGTTCTTATATGTGACTTGTTTTCTTTGTTATGCATTTCAACGTTTAATAAGGGTGTATTTTGTTTCTACAGTTGTTCCTGGTCCTCTGTTTTGTGCAGATTCACCCGCCTCACCCAGCACTCCAGTTTCTGGTAAAAAAAAAAATCTACCATTATCATTAAATAAACATCTAGGCTTGATGTCAATGTATAACTTGCCCGGCATCCCTCTTACAGTCCATTCTCTGAGGCCAGCTGATGTATCTGTGGTATCAGCAATAGTTCTGTCTGAAGTGGAGAGGTATGTTTAAATCACAAACGCATCAAAACATCAACTAAGCTACATTGGAATTGAGGCTGATTTGTAACCTTGAAAAAGAGATTAACATAGAACAGCGCTTTAGTTTAAATGAAGATGGCCTATTTAATTCCTAAATTTAGGTCTTCTCTGAACTGAATAGACTATTAGCCACACTGTTTTTATTCAGTCATAGTTCTTAAAACATTGTCTGATTTTTTTAATGCATGTTTATAACTAACGGAGTAATCAAATAACATATGCAAATTGATATTTTTATTATGCGAATGCAATTATTATGTAATTAAAATGAAAACAATGCGTTTTTTCACCGGCAGATCTGATGAAATTAGAGCCCTGAGCATGCTGTCTGGTAAGTATTTAGTTGTACTCTACAGAAATAAATGGAACACATTATTATAATGTATAGTATCAATTAACTTATGCTAATGGAATAACTAACATTGAGTTACAATGAGAAATATTTTATTCCATAATTTTTGATCTTTGCTAATATTAGTGAATAAAATATTCATTGTTAGTTCATGTTAGCTCAAATTCCCTGTTAATTTACTCACCCTCAGAACATTCTTCAGAACAACTAGATTATATTTAGCTAAAACCGTAGTTCTTAGTAATGTATATGGTAAATTTAAAGTCAACAACTACTGACACAAAAATTAGGCAAAAGAACCAGGCAGCTTAAGAACCTGAACATTGCACTATGATAATATTTGTATGATCAGTTTCCATATGTTATATGATTCTATTTTTTTTTTTAGGTTAGTCTATCCATGTTTTTGAAGTGCATTAAAGGACCCTGAGCTTTCTTCCAACAACTTTTGGTGTTGAAAAAGTTTTTAAAAACTAAATCTTATAGAAATTATTGATAGTTCGAAGGGATATATTGTCTGAATTGTTGTTGTAAATTACGCTACAAAAACATGGCAATAAACTGCCAGTCCTTTTTTTACAGAATATTATTTTGATTACAATATTTTGATATAATGCAATTCATACTGTAAAACAATAAACTGAAAACGTCTCCTTCACAGAAAGAAGAAACTGTTAATTAACAGATATTTTTTATAGTATATTAGATTTGAGCTTAGAACTGTTTGCAGACGCTGTGCATTAATGTCTTAAAATATTGCCTTGCACAAACTGCTGTGGTTTAAAAGTAATTAATTTAACTCAGAACTAGAACTTAGAACTTTGAACTTAAATGCTTCAGAACTATTATTCATTTTTACTTCATGTTAAGTAGTGTACATTTAATGTTAACAAATGAAAAATTGTTGTTAAGTATTACTGAAATAAACAAATACTGTACGCGTATTTTGTATAAGTATTCTGTTCCAGTTACACTAGAATGTCATTAGTGAATTCTTTATTTTCAACTACAGAGCTTTTATCTGAATTGTTTTGTGTGTGTTACTAAGTAATGTATTGATCAAGCTCACAGAGACCCTTTTACATGTTTCTGTGTGATTGTCAGACTTGATTAAACCAGAGCTCTGTGTAAAGGTTTGAGAAAGGTTTGATTCGAGTCCTTGAAATGCAAGTCAAGGCCAGGGCAGAGATACACGTAACCATTTGACAAGCTGATTTCTCAGACATTAATATTTACAGATAATATAAATTACAGTATATGACCAAGTGTATATACTGTAGCAGGAGTCAATTTGTCTGAAAGACAAGAAATAACACATAATTTTTAAATTCATCAGGTTGAAAAATATCTTTATCTCAATCAATGTAATAATAAAGTCTTATCTAAGCATGTACACTTAAGCACTTTGTTTTAGGCTGATTTGTCTCGGCCAGTCTGATATGATTGGTCTGTTCACTACTGTTTGGGATATGGTTATCTCATGGTTGTATTCTCATGGAGCTCAGAGGACAGCAGCTCTGTTAAACTTTATTTCTCATCTTAAAAGTGCCATTTAGTTTTTCATTTATCCTGAACAATTTGGTTAGATTGTAAAATTTGCTTAATGATTGTAATCATTTCTCAGCGATTGTCATAAAATGGTAGGCTGATCAAAGGCAGACTGAAAGAAGGGGAAACAGAAACTCTACCGATAACCTATTGTCAAGTCAGTAAATTAGGGGCAAGGACCCATGTTAAGCACATGGTTATGTGAGGTTACAATCTTGTTATTTAACAGTTACAGTATCTGAAAGAGAGACAGAAAGACTCAATAATTAACTTTCAAGTGACAAAATAACATGTTTTTACTTTTCTGTCTTAGAAATATTGTCCACCTTTAACCCTCATATATCAGCTGTTCTACCTGACCAAAGGTACTAATGGAAAAAAAAACATTATCAAGCTATACAACATTATATATACACTATATTTTATTATATTTATAATGACTGTGTGTGTGTGTGTGTGTGTGTGTGATAGGAGTTTAATGGAAAAAGCAGAAGACATGCAGTTCCTGGACCCCACTCAGGTATAGAGTAAATACTCTTTAGGACTTTTATGACTGTTTGTCCCGGTCCTGCAATTATCAAACGTGTTATCTAAAGGTTTTGTTTCTCCTCGCTCGAGTATAAGTGGCATTAACTGTGATAAGCCTTTTTTTATTTACTTTAATCACTGTCACTACAGTTACAGGCGGTACCCACAGCTAAATTGAGAACAAAAAATGCGGTATTTGTGCAAACATTAACAAACAACTTGATGTGAGCTGTTGCAGAATTCGAAGAGGACAATGAATGAGCCATAGCTCTTGTTAACTATATGATTCTGCAGGTTATTACATCAGTTGGTGATGCCAGTAACTCTGTACGAGTTATTCAATTCATTTAAAAGATTTGTTTGATGGGAGAAAGATTCATTTGATTCTCATTGAATTATTCACCTAACTGTTATGTTTACAGCATTTACGTCTATAGTAAAAATACAAGTAGTAATTTATAGTAAATATTTTAGTGCTCTTGTATTAAACCATACAAAGTGTAAGTATTAGTACTAACTATCCTGAACTTATAAACTATAATAAATACTGTAGTATACTTTAGTTTTTATTACAGTAAGCTGTCATGTATTGTAGAAAGCAATATAGTATTGGGTGATTTCTTAACATCACTATAGCTTTATAAATACATCACTATATTACCACATCAGATTATTTAATCTACTTTACTATAGTATGGTTTGAAAACACTATTATTTACTGTATAATAAATTACTATAGTATTTTTGCATGTTTAGCGTGTGAGTTCGTGGCATAAGTTGATTGTCTTTGTATTCCTTTGATAAAATAACTAACAATATTGCATCAAAAATATAAACTCCCTTATATTACACTGTAATTCAAAGTAAATATTGTAAACAATACATTTTAATTTAATGGATAAGCACTCTTTAAAGTTAACATTATATGCCATTTATTAGATTTTTTTGTCTGAGAAATCCACTTTAAATGTCACTTGTTGTGTCATTCTCTTTCAGTGGAAGTTGCTCCTTCTATTCATACCAGTTGATGAGATCTCTGTGTGCCCAGACCAGGTCAGACAAGTGACCACGAATCCAATCAAGCTAAACAATAAAACAATCAAACTTCAGATTTAATTCTGCATTTGTTCTTAGGATCTCACTGCAGTCATTGATGAAACAGTTAACAGAGTTGAGCAAACACTGGACTCTCTTAATGAGAAGGTGAAATTAGTCAATATCATCTAAACAAACATTTTTAATTAATAGAGTTCATTTACAAAAACAGCTTTTTTTCCCTTTTCAGTTGAAACACACATTGGTTCATGTTGTGGTTTGGCGTGGACTGTCAAGTGACCGGTCAGTATTATGAGAACATTACGTAAAAAACAATTCAAATGAGATTCTGTGATGAACAGTTTTAATTTGTGAGATTCTTTTGCTTTTTAGAGTCTGTCAGTTCAAATGTGAGCAAGGATATGATGAAAACAAATGTAGACTGGATATGTTAGTGCTTATGGCTTCATTGCAGGTGTGTAAAATGTGTTTAAAATATGCATATGTGCACACAGGGGTGGACTTAATGATTTTGGGGCCCTATGCAAGTCCAGGTAGATGCCCTGCATTGACTTAAAAAAACATTTTCTTTCTCTATAGATATTGTTTGTAAATAAACTGCATTTTAAAATATATATTTAAGTGAAACCTTTCTCTTCTTAATGTAAAAATAAATACAATAAATTGACAAATATAAAAACAAGCTCATAAAGTAACTATGTACAGTTAATCATTCATACATGTAATCGTGACTTTAATATTTGCATGTGCAGTACTGAAGGAACGCTCTGCTATTCATGGGGACTCCCAGTTTTGATAAGAAGTAATAATGTTAAAGTCTTAACGATTATTGAAAGATTTGACAACATATAGAATTTTTTTAAAAGAGCTATAGTATATGATTAATATAGGCTTCTTGGCATTGTTCGGGGCCCCGTAATTCACCAAGGCCCTAAGCAGCAGCCGCTTACCTTGCTGGTTAGTGAAGTCCACCTCTGTATACACACACACACACACACACACACACACACACACACACACACACACACACACACACACACACACACACACACACACACACATACATAAACACATACATACATGTTCAGCATATATGAGTACACCACCCACAAATCTCTCATTTAAATTATATTTTTAATGAGAGGCTTTATAATATTATATTTGTGCATATAAATTAGATTAGTCTGTACTGAAGCCAAATCTGGAGTCTATCTAACAAAATAACTTATAATGTTTCAGGAATTATTAGCTTAAATTTATGTTCAATTTTTTTTTTTTATTTAGTTGAAATTTTGTAGGTTTTAAATTCTTTTCTTTTTCTTTTTTTTTGCAGTATTTTGTATGAATTTTTATGTATTATCTTTCCATTTATAAAGATGCTCTGTGACTAAAATATTATTTTGATAGATATATCTGTTTAATAAATCTGTTTTGTTCATATGCACCAATACATATTACACATATTCACTGAAAAATTGATAAAAATATTCATTTTCAAAATATCAATAATAATATTAATTTATGCTGAGCACTGTACATGTATGAATTTTGTGAAATCAGTTGTTTGACATTTATGTGTTTTATTGGACAGGAATCTCTCAGTGCTCTCTTAGAAAGGAGAGGCTGGTTCAACGATCAAGAGGACTTCAGTGTAATGCTTCAGTCCAGTCCAGTGCTGACAGATCCAGTGAGTCTACAATATCCAAATATTATTTTACAGACAGACAGACAGATATGAATAAATGTGCACTTAAACATATATAATTTAATTTCCTTTCAAGATATTAAATAATCAAAAATGATTGTAAATGATTATAAATCTAACCATTGCAATAATGAGATCTGAGACTTAATGCTATTTGTATTTAAAAGAAATATTATTTTTAAAAGAAACATACACCCTGGGCTACAGAAACAAGGCCACTACTTTAGCAATTTTATTATGGACAGTTTCTTATGCAAATATGTACTTTTTTGTTTTAATTTCAGATGACATTACCCTCGCCTGACTCCTCAAATGACATAAGCTTGGTTGTTTTACAACTCTGGGCTAATTTGGTAAGTTAATAATAATGCGAGCAAAGTATGTGTACAGTGTTTCCGTTAAGGTGAATTCCTGGACACTTTCAAGTTCTAAGCGGTAATAATAATAAAGGCCCTGATGTGACTGATAACAGACCAATAATCAGCTCTTGATGATAAGATTTAATCTAAAACCCATACAACCTAAAACCCCATCTAATACCACGTATCTAATCTTGTCTTTATATAAGGAAGAACTTGAGCTTTCTTTCTAACCAATCTGAATTATTCTTTTCACAGCTCCAGCCAATCACAGACAACACTGAGATGGATGGGTGGGGCGGAGTCACCGTTCCATGTCCTACTGAGGTAGTGAAAGTATTTGATTTATGACCTCTTCAGCATTCATAAAGCAAATTGCTGAATCAGAGTCTGTTCATAACTGCGCCTTTATCAGACCAAAATGTTCTCTTTACGTTTTACACAAGTTTTTGCCCTTCATATATGATAAAGACATTATAAAATTGTGTATTTTCATTCACACGATAAAGCACACTGACAGAGTCTAAAGATTAACCACACCACACACTTTAGTCAGACTGGTGTAAACATCTGTTGGAGCATGTTTTTGCTGAACGAATATGTTTAATAGGCCTTTGTTGGGTCATAAAATCTCTAAGAAATTATGGTTATTGTCAGCATCTGTAGTGTGTGTATTGAACTTTATATATTTGTCTGTGAATTATTTTTTATGTTTGAGACTGTATGTTCAAATTTTTCCAAAACAGAGAGAACCATGCGCATACATTATGCTTTACGAATCCTACTGTTCTGTTTCAGGAAAAGCCATTTTTGCGAACACATCAAAATTCAGAGTCCAGATCATCACAAACAGCAGATTCACCTCTACTTGTCGACCCAGTGAGTTCATTCTCACCATAAGCTCGTCCTGCTGCTTGACACGTGTTTCTCTTGTACTGCATCTGTCAGATATGATTCAGCTTTCTGCATCTTTCAGGTGATGGGGAGTGAACTCAACTGTGAGGACATGGCTCCATCTCCCAGCATCCCTACCTCAGGTAAACTGGGATCTCACACTTTAGTACCGCTCACTGTTTGGGAACTACAGAAGGCTCATAGTCTTTTTTTCTGTGTGTCTGGTATGTAGTTCATGCTTTACGGCCAGCAGACATCAAAGTTGTGGCAGCGATAGGTGACTCTTTAACGGTGAGGATTATTTTTTTCTTTTCGTAACCACCTTTGGCTTTTTATACATAGGCTATCATTATTATTTTAATTGTTTAGTACTATTTATCAGAGTTGTTTCAGTATATTATTCAATGCATGTGTGGGCCAAAAAAATATTGTCAAATATTTTCACCTTTTACAATCTTTGCTGATCCTTCCTAAAATATATGGATATATACCACAGAAACTCCACACAGAAATGCCAACTGGCCTAGCCAGGGCTCAAACCAGCGACCTTCTTGCTGTGAGGCAATTGTGCTACCCACTGTGCCACCATGATGCCCTTAAAAAACAAAATTGAATATGTAGGTTAATCGATGTCCTCATTGGAGTGCGTAGAACACTGTTTCCTTATCTATGAAAGTAAAGGAGTAAAGTAAAGAGTAAAAGTAAAGTAAAGAGAACGTAAAGAGACAGAATGGAGAAAGTTCATTCTTTATCCTCGTGCAGTTGGTCTGTTTCTCGCAAGTGAAGTGTTTAGTTTTTCCATTCAGTTTTTCCACTTACAAAGTTGCCATGTAAATAGCAAATGCGCAATGGCGCAACACTACTGACTCTCAAAGGAAATGTGAGGTGACACCCTGTTTTTATGTTATTTTTTGCACGTTATGCTTAAAACAAACCCATAAATTGTTAGTAAAATAAGCACAACCCTGTTAGACCGTGAGCAAACTGTATTTTTCCGTCCTTTAAAAAGCAAAAGTGGATTAGGACATGCCCTTAATGCTTTTGTGCCATGCGCTTTAGACTTTGCGCCTAGATTGTTAAAATAGAGCCCTTTGATTAGTATAATTCACTTATTTCTGCCTAAGTATGTTTATTATTTTATATTATATTTTTTTTGTATATATATTATTTATATTATTTTTATATTCATATGTGCAATTTTGTGATGTCATTTTCTTTGTCACCATAACAGGCAGCCAATGGGGTAGGTGCTGCTCAAAATAACCTGCTGGGTGTGATCACAGAGTACCGAGGCCTGTCATGGTGGTGAGTGTCTATCATGATCTTCCGGTTAACCGTCATTTCAGTGCGCACAAATGGTGCTGGTTTAATGCATGTCAAATCTGAATGTTCAGTGATATTTCATCAAGCAGAAGGCAGTCATGTTTGATTTTAATGCTTTTATCTGTCTTTCAGCATTGGTGGAGATAAGAACCTGTCATCTATAACCACTTTACCAAGTATGTGCAAGCTCTCATAATAACATGGTGATCTTATTGTTATATATGTTAGATTTATTTGGTTAAGCATTTATTAAGTCATAAAAAATATAGTAATCGCTGTACAATAAATGTTTCAAACAGCGTTTTAGAACAGCTTTACATAACTTGTAGTTCATGGATAAAGTTATGCTTGAGCCCATCTTTAACAAACAGAAAGCCTAATGTGCTTACCCTAAAATGCTCTTTAACTTTGGCATTTTAAATGTTTAAATAGATACATGATACTGTTTCGAGTGATAATTTAAGCTTAAGATCATTTTCTTTGTCATTTAGACATACTGAAAGAGTTTAACCCTTCAATCAATGGCTATTCTGTGGGAAAAGGAGATGAGGATTCAGCACAAAGCTTTCTGAACCAAGCAGTACCAGGAGCCAAAGCTGAGTGAGTCACTTCACGTCTAACAAACCAATGGATAACGAATCATTAAACATATTTCGAAATGTCCCTTTTCCTAAGATGAAAAAGCTATCATTTTTCAATCTTCAGTATGACATGATCCTTCATATATCATTTTAACACACCTATTTGTTTCTCAAGAAACGTGACATATGTTGATTATGACATTTCTTTAATGAATAATTCAAGAGATCAGCGTTTATTAGAAACAAAAAAAGTTGTTGTTGTCCCTTTTAATCTTATTTTGAATTAATGCATCTTTGCTTATTATTAATATCTTAAACAAAATAATCTAAATGGCAGCAGTCTTTTTAAGAGTGGGTCTAGATGCAGACCTGGTGCAGTGCAATCTGAGCTGCATCCAATGCTTTTTAATGCGCTCACTTAAGCCCACCCCTAACCCTATCCATCACAGTGACGTCACTCACTCCATTGAGTGCATTGGGTCTGACATTGCATCGCTGAGTGATGCAATCTCAGCTTGCATCCTAAAGGCTGCTTCCGGATACCATTGTTTTTTAATGATAGTGTAAAGAAAGAAAGTACTATGAAACAATACTAAATGTCTAATTTTGCCATTTTGCAGTGATATGGTGAAGCAGGCTCATGCTGTTATTAAAAGAATGAAGGAAGACTCAGTAAGTAATTTGCAATAAATTCTCATGTACCCAACGCACTTACACTTGCTTTTCTATTGTGCTAAAGTGCCTATCTAACCCTGTAATAAGACTAAGAAATTATTTAGGTTACATTTATATTTGTCCATTTTATTTTCTCAACACATCGGATGTTGTTGTACTTGTTAGGATTTTTTTATACCACACAGTATGGACCAAAAACTGAGCAGCACACTAAGTATGAACCTTTCTGTCTTCTTTCAGAGAATTGATTTCGAGAACGACTGGAAGATTATCACACTCTTCATTGGAGGAAATGACTTATGTGCCCACTGCTCTGATACTGTATGCTGATATTAATCGAGACTGATTTATTTATTATCCTTTCAAGATTAGATCTGTAATTAGTGTCTCTATCTCTCTTTATCACTATATGCCCTCAGCGGTACTATTCTTCTGATAACATTGTGAAGTATATCCGCGAGGCTCTGGACATTTTGCACAATGAGGTGAGGCTGTTTTGGCTCTGATTTTGTCATTTTTGATACAGACATAATGTTGGTTTAAATTAGGTTTTGAATATTTCATTTAATAAAGAGAAAGTCCCTGTTATCTCTGTCAAATCTAAAGTGTCTGTAAAAATGAAAGGTTAATCACAAAGAAAGAAAGCTACTCAGAATATGTAAACCCCTGCTGCTACTGATTCAGTCATGTCTTGTTCTCTAGGTTCCTCGAGCTCTGGTAAACCTCGTGGAGCTGCTGGATATAGTTCCCCTTCGTGCACTTCATAAGGACAAAAGCAATGGTTGCCCTACCTGGCTGGTCAAGTAAGTTTTGTCCTGTACAAAACTGATTCTCCTTATTTCTGTCAGACTCATTTAGAAGAACTGTTATCTGTAACTCTTCATGCATAATTTTGCTTTGCTTTTATATTTTTTAGTATTATGTGCCGTTGTGTTCTGCAACCTAAAGATGAATCTCATGAATTCCAGACATTGCAGGAGTTTAACAAAGCCTATCAGGTACACAACGTTTTCAATTTATTTTAATTATTAGTTCTTTTAGGTTTTTGCCATTCATTAGTGGTCAACGAAAACAGCTCAGATTTACTTGTAGTTCTTATGACCGGAAATGTAAGTCAATTTTCAGAATTATACTTAGATAAAATCATTTAAATGTAATTTATTGCTTTTTATTGCTCAATATTGTTTTTTAAGAAATATAACATTTAAATGTACTGTCAAAAATTCTTGCTGCCTTACATGTGTTTGTTGCATCCAATGAACTTTTCTAGACATCTCAACTTACATCAGTCAAACTGACTAAAAATATTAAGTTAAACTTTGTATAACTTAAACGTGATCAACTTATTAAAGTTAGTTAAAGCAAAATATATTTGTTGTTTTCATTTTTTGTCATTGCATTTTTTCCAGTTTGCTTAGTTTTAAGATGAAAACTCATTGTAATTGTGGTAGGAAAAGCACAGCCCAGTTGTTGAACAAACAAATACATTAATTTGCTAAATTTGAGAATAATTTTCTTTTGATTTAGCTATCATAGAAGAAATTTTGCAGCAAAGCTTTGCTCATTTTGATCATTAAATTCTTTGTGTATCTAATATCATTAGATAGATAATAATATCATAGATAAGAGGTAAACAGGTTATGTCTTTCTTTAACAAAGAAATACAAGTTTTAATAGCTTGTTTAACAGATTGTCTTAGTAGATAATCACAGAAAACAAAGTGCTGCAAATACTGCCTCAGCTATTGAGAATAGTAGCAGCAAAAGTAATTGTAGGCAATAAAATCCTTAAATTGTCCTATATTATGGATTTGTTGATTATTGATATTACACTATAGAGTCACATTTTATTTTAATGATCCGTTTGTTGAATTTCAGTTACATTGCATCTACATGCCAACTAATTAGATTATAAGTAGACTCTTAGGTTGGGGTTAGGGTTTGGGTTAGTGTAACTTGACATGTACTTGCAAAGTTTCTTATTGTCAGTTAAATGTCTGTTGAAGGAGCAAATATCAGCAGATAATAAGCAGTCTATACTCTAATGGACAATAAAAATAATAATAATAATAATACATTTTATTTATAATGCACATTTTCTAAGACCCAAAGCACTACAACAACAGAGAAATCAAACATGCAATAAAATATAAGTATACATTTAAAAAGTTCTAAAACATAAACACAGAATAATCAACAATCTAAAAATTCAGTCTTAAATAGATGAGTTTTAGCATCTTCTTAAAACTAGCTTGCGTGGAAGCATTTCTTACAAAGTAAGGGAGAGCATTCCATAATAGGTGCAGCAACAGAGAAAGCTCTCTCCCCCATTGATTTTAGTCTACAGGGTGGTTGTTGAAGGGTGAGAGTATCAGCAGACCACAGGGAGCAAGAAGGTGTATACTACTGAGTGAAAATGTCACAGTTATAGGAAGGAGCGGTACCATGTAGAGCTTTATATGCAAGTGTGAGTGTTTTTGAAATGATACGGGACTGAACTAGGAGACAATGCAAGCTATAAAGCACACCAGTAATGTACTGCCGTGGTGGAGTGCGTGTGAGAATGCGTGCTGCTGAGCTTTGAATGTACTCTAGGCTTTAATTACTTTAGCAGGTAAACCAATATAGAGTGCATTACAATAGTCAATCCTAGAAGTGACAAATGCATGAATGAGTCTTTCAGCATCTGGTTGAAAAAATAAAGTGTTTACCACTATAGTTATGAAGTAAAAGAATATGAGGTTAAAATGAACATGATTATAAAATGTAACTGGTTAAATGTCCATTATACTTAATGTGTTTTATTTTCAGCGTGGGATGTGGGAGCTGGTGGATTCTGGCCGATATGACACTCATGATAATTTCACTGTGGTCCTGCAGCCATTCTTGAGAAATGTTTTTCTTCCCTTGATGGAGGTGCAGAACAATCTTTTATCATTTACAGCACAGACTGTCCTTTCTTGATCTGCTTGTTCTCAATCTTCTTCGTTCATTGATTTTATGCTCTTTTAGGACGGGAGACCTGACCGATCTTATTTCTCTCCGGACTGTTTTCATCTCAGTCAGAAAGCTCACACGCTCATGGCTCGGGCTCTCTGGAACAACCTGGTCAGTATTTCATAGAAAAAGATCCATAGCAAAGAGCATATGTTCCATTTTAGTGTACACATTTTAAATAACTTGTACAAAAGAAACTTTACACACATAAAAAGCATATATCATCAAGTATTCTTAACACATACACTTAAAATATCAAAATAAGGGTGAAATCATTTTTTTGTCATTTAGCTTAACAGATGTATTTATGTACAGTAAATTTATTTCATTTTGAGCTGAGCCTGTGCTTAATAAAATATATAAAAGAATAATTATATTATATCACATAATCTAAATAATGTAATCATTTTGGTGACAAATGAATTTAAAATAGTGTTTTGAAGTACAGAGGTGAAGTATGATAAATTAAAAAATGACAGTTAATTAGTATTTTTTGAAGTGCACTGTATAGAATTTTTACAATCCTTACATAGAGTCTTTTAACAGGCTATCAAATGATGTAATTGATGTCTTCTGTAAATAATGCTAACAATGTACACTCACTGGCCACTTTATTAGGTACACTATATTAGTATCAGATTGGACCTTCTTTTGCCTTCCGAACTGCCCTAATCCTTTATGGCATATATTCAACAAGGTACTGGAAATATACCTCAGAGATTTTGGTCCATATTGACATGATAGCATCACGCAGTTGCTGCAGATTTGTCGGCTGCACATCAATGATGTGAATCTCTTGTTCCACCAAATCCCGAAGCTCTTCTATTGGATTGAGATCTGGATTGAGTCCATTTGAGTACAGTAAACTCATTGTCATGTTCAAGAAACCAGACTGAGATAATTCACTCTTTATAACATGACGTGTTATCCTGCTGGAAGAAGCCATCAGAAGATGGGTACACTGAGGTTATAAAGAGATGGACATGGTCAGCAACAATACTAAGGTAGGCTGTGGCCTTGACCGTCTGAACTGTTTATACAAGGCAGGATGGATCCATGCTTCATGTTTTTGTTCATGCCAAATTCTGACCCTACCATCAGAATTTTACAGCAGAAATCAAGACTCATCAACCCAGGCAACTTTATCCCAATCTTCTATTGTCCAATTTTGGTGAGCCTGTGTAAAGTGTAGCCTCAGTTTCCTGTTCTTAGCTGACAGGAGTGGCACCCGTTGTGGTCTTCTGCTGCTGTAGCCCATCCACCTCAAGGTTGGACATGTTGTGCGTTCATAGATGCCCTTCTGCATACCTCAGTTGTAACAAGAAGTTAATGTTGTCTTTCTATCAACTGGAACCAGTCTGGCCTCTAACCTGTGGCATCAACAAGACATTTTCACCCACAAAACTGCCACCCACTAGATATTTTCTCTTGTTCAGACCATTCTCTGTAAACCCTAGAGATGGCTGTGTATGCACATACCGATGGATCAGCAGTTTCTGAAATACTCAGACCAACCCGCCTGGCACCAACAACCAGGCCGTGTTCAAAGTGACATAAAGGCAGTTGTACCTAATAAAGTGGCCGGTGAGTTTATTTTAGTCATGTTTTTGCCCAGAAAAAATACAATTAAACGAAACACTGTCCAAGGTTTGGCTGCAGGCTATTTCAGTTTGTTAATGTACTTACAACTGAAACAGAAAATTGAGTAGGATGTGAGGCTTTTTTTTTTGCATCATTCCCTCATAGCAAGCTAATGTTAAAAGAAGGTATTGATAGAGTTAAAAAAAAAAAAAAGGTTGCCATGGAAGCCCTTAGGTTGACATCAACAGAGGAACTGTCACTACAACAGTTGGAGCAAATGGTTTAAATGAAGATTTTTTTCAAAGATCTGTGGAATGTCTTTATTAGTGGATTAAATAAATTATTTACATTAATAATTACAATATGATCTAGAAAAAAACATTTTACATTTTGCTATCAACCAGACTTAAAAGTTGTCTTTAATAAAAATGTCACTTTTATTGTTTTGATGCTTAAAAAATGTAGCAGCAGACAAACAATACAATACATGTAGCAGCATTTCATTTTAACAGTTTGTAAAACTGTATTTCATAAGGAAATTCAAAAACAATTAAAAAATGGTCATAATATTATGTATTACCATTTTGTTCATAGCATGCATAATCCAAAATATTTCCTGCTTCATTCCCTCCCTCCCTTCCTCAGATGGAACCTTTAGGTAACAAGACTGATAAAGAGGATTTCACTGCAGGAATCTCTCTTAAATGCCCAGAAAGAGTGAGTTTTCTTCTACACTATGCATATATATCTTATGTTAACTCTATAGTTCTGTCAACAATGTTTCATTTTCTTCTTCAGTCATCCCCCTATTTGAGGACATTTCATAACAGCAATTACACATACAACATTCCTGAACCTTCTCCTCCACCCCCAACAGTAAGTTACACAAATATTAATAATGGATCTAGTGCAGCTTTAGAGTGATCAGTGTGTTATGTATTGTAACATGACTCTTGTCTTTCACTTTAGAACTGGGGAAGTGATTTCTCATGTGTGGACACAGCGCCCTCTAACACTTTACCAACATCTGGTAAGTAAAAAAAAATTAAATAAAAAATACATTTGAGGTAACAATTATATAGGTTTTACTATTAATTAAAATTAAAATAAATAATAATAATAAAAGATAAAATAAAAAATTAAATTAAATTAAACTAAACTAATTTCCCAGTGATGGGTTGCAGCTGGAAGGGCATCCACTGCATAAAACATATGCTGGATAAGTTAGTGGTTCATTCCACTGTGGTAACCCCTGATTACTAAGACTAAACTGAAAAGAAAATGAATGAAAGAAAGAAAGAAAGAAAGAAAGAAAGAAAGAAAGAAAGAAAGAAAGAAAGAAAGATAAAATTAAATAAAATAGTTGGTTCATTCCACTATGGCGACCCCTGACTAATAAAGGGACGAAGGCAAAAAATAAAATAAAATTAAATAAAATAGGTGGTTCATTCCGCTGTAGTGACCTCTGATTAATAAAGAAACTAAGCGAAAAGAAAATGAATAAAATAAAAATAATAAAATAAAAAATAATAAAATAAAATAGGTGGTTCATTCCACTGTAGCGACCCCTGATAAATAAAGGAACTAAGCAAAAATAAAATAAAATAAAACAAAATAAAATTAAATGGGTAAACTACATTAAATGAGTCATCTGAGAGATTTTCCACTGAAGAAACAGAGAAATAACATTGACATTCGTGAGTTCAGAAAAAATCAGACAACACGTTTCAATTTGAACAGATATTATGGCGTGATTCATTATCTTTCGTTTATTATGATTTTATGATTTATTAACTTTTATCTTCTTAGATTCTAGCAGTGCTTTGTTGTTGTGTTTGTGTATCCAGGCATTCATGTAACAGCATTTCTTTATCAGTTCACAGTCTGCGTCCAGGTGACATCAAAGTAGTGGCGGCTCTTGGAGACTCACTCACTGTAAGTGTGCTTGTATATTTGTGCATCTCTCTGTGTTTCATCATGCTCTGAATATCATTGTTTCTCTCCCTGTCTGCATGCGTCAGGCCGGATTTGGTGCAAAAGCTAAAAACATTCTCCAGCTGCCGGATGAGGAACGCGGGGTTTCCTGGAGGTCAGATGTCAAACTTTACTTAAGGAACTCTATTCTTGCAATATATATTTTTTTTATTCTAAGTTTTTAATTTGATTGACAGCATTGGTGGAGATGATACATTGGAGACTGTCACCACATTACCGAGTGAGTATTTTCTTGTGTAACACCTTATCTAGTTTGTTACTGGTTGTTATTTGCTAAATGGTTACATTTGGTAGGACTTAAACTTACTAAAAATGAATTGGCTAGGAGTAAAACTGGTTTAAAAACATCATTATATCATACTATGTCATCAGACATCTTCAAGAAGTTCAACCCAAGTGTTTTCGGCTTCTCCAAGGGGAAAAGTAAACGACCAAATGGCTTTAATATGGCAGTGGGCGGTGCCAAAGCACAGTGAGAAACACACATAAATGCATATAACACAAAGACAATACACAAAATCCTCCCAGCTAATGCTTTCTTTCTGCATATTCAGGAATATACCAGCACAAGCAAGGGATCTCATCACAGCTTTGAAGGAAAGCAAGGTTAGTATGCTTATTCAGTTTATTAAAATGTTCTAAACCACTGTACAATGAATAAATGCATTTCATGCATTTAAAGGACTGTTCCTTGTTTTCTTTGCTACATAAAATGTTTTATATGCAATTACGTGCCAACTCCAGCAAATTCCACCAATTTTTTGTTTGGCATTAAATGTGTTCCACACTGCTCTCTGTTTTTCAGGACGTGGACTTTGAGAAGGATTGGAAACTGGTGACATTGTTTATTGGAGGAAATGACCTTTGCCAGTACTGTCATGACCGGGTGAGTGAATGATTCTTAATAAATGCTCTCAGAGGCACATCGTAAATGGTTTCTTTTTGCGTCAGAGCACCTCGGTAGTGAACTTTAATATACTGAAACTAGCAGAGAAATGTGCCATTGCTTCATTTTAAATGTAATTTCATGTAATCAAAACTATTCTCATTTATATAGACCTGCAAAATGAAACTAAATAAATAAATATACTAACCACATTATTATCCTTGCCAGGCCAGTAGTTGGCAATGTCACTTTGTAGAGAATAAGGGTACACACAGTCTTGAAGCTCAATACTAAAGGTTGGGTTGAAAATCAATATGCATGACGTTACTTATTTTCACAAGAGCTTTTTAATAATGCACAAAATAACCATATTATTTACAAAAACTTCACATTTTCAGCCTCCCAATATGTTGTTGTCAAGCAATTGCATTATGAAAACAATTCTGAAAAAAAATCGAAGTACAGTATCTCTAAATCTGCAAACAGCAGTTAAATTTTGCTTTGTGTGTTGTTGTTTTGTCTCTACTCAGGCTGCTCTGTCTTCTTCAAAGTATATCGGTCACATCAGAGACAGTCTGGACATGCTCTACAATGAGGTGAGAGAGACACTATACCTTTACTTTCATATAACTGGTGAGCTCATCTGACTGTGTATCAGACATTATTCAATTCTTATGAGTTAGAAAATAATTAGTAGTATTGTTTTCATAAGAATTACACACTTTTTTTTACATAAAACATTATTTTTATGTTTATTACCAAGTGCTTGCATACTTATTTTGATATTTTACTGACTGGACTGGAAATTAAAAAACTGCCTAATAGTTCCATTTGCATAATTATTAAGTAGCTTTTCTTTTAAAGGACCCAAAAATGAGATATAACTTGCTCTGAAAAATTATTAGTAACCATTGGACAAAAACTTTTTGTGCAGGTTCCCAGAGTGCTGGTGAATTTAGTGGAAATCTTACAGATTGAGGATCTGCGAATGATAAAGAGGGACACACTGGGCTGCAGCCTCCTCCAAAAGTAAATCAATCAATCATTAAATTATGCTCTGAAATGATCATCCAGTGTACACCAACATTTTCATGTGTGTGTGTGTGTGTGTGACAGAAACATGTGTCCGTGTTTTCTGAGTCCACGTGAAAACTCTCCACAAATGAATGAAATGAAGAAGGTCAACAGAGATCTGCAGGTCTGCAGCCAAACAAGTTGTCTGTTCGTTTAAAGCTGATTAGCTGTGTGGACTTGACATTCAGTAATAAAGGTGTTGTTGTTTTCTGTCAGGCGGAGGCTGAAAGGCTGGTGTATGGGGGACGGTATGATGGAAGACATGACTTTGCGGTGGTGCTACAGCCCTTTTTTGAGAACACTGTTGTTCCAATGGACAAGGTCTGTGCCCTAAAATATTACAAAGAGTAATGAAATCTCATATAAACAACACATTCAGACAACAAATATAGTCAAAGAGTTTCAGTATCAGTGCCAATGCTGTAAAAGAAATATCTAATTTTTTCGATAAACTATTGCATTTCATTAATTTGTAGTGTTCATACACCAGTCTTTTGAAGTAACATTTACTGAACACATTCTTTTACAAAACAACAGAAAGTAATGTTAACAAAAATCCTAAAAAGGCAAGTGAATTTTCGCAAAGTCAATTTACAGTTATTCACCTTTATTTTAAGGAAAATGACTGTTAAACAGGTTACGGATTTTTACTGTAGCATTTTTACAGGTTTACCATGGAAAATAATTTTTCACAGTGTTGCAACTAATTTTTCTCTCTGCATTAGGATGGCAAACCAGACGTGTCTTTCTTTTCTGTGGATTGTTTTCATTTTTCTGAGCGTGGCCATGCAGAGATGGCTATTGCAATTTGGAACAATATGGTAAATGAATATAAACTTACACACACACAAGCTGCCTCCCGAATGACACACTTTGCACTTTTACACTACACTTATACACTATAGTGTTTGATCTTAGTGTCATCCCAAACGGAACACTAATCATTTTTTTACTAATTCAAACTGTTTCCTAGACAATGTTTAACAGTAGCAAAATTAGAGAAATAAATCAACAAACTAACAAATAGTACCTGTTGGAGTACAACCACATTCACAATCAGAAGATGGCATAATTTTATCTATTGAAGAATTTTGCTTGTCCAACCAAAAGATAATAGTAAAGAGAATGGATAAAGCCAAGTCCATCATCTGTTTTTTTTTTCTTAATTTTTAGTGTGAATGCACTAAAAATATTCATATTCAGTACACTTTTTATATAATAATGTTTTGTCTAGTGCATAAGTATGTAATATGGGATGCAGTTCCAATCTCAAAGAATCTTTCCCATGTTAAATACCGTATGTCTTTGTCCTTCTTTGCTTTAGCTGGAGCCTGTAGGGAGTAAACAGAACTACAATAATTTCACATATGACCGCAGTAAGATCCGCTGTCCCACAGAGGTGAGTATATAACCAATATAAACAATTGTTTTATATAGATCAGTGATGAAAATGTGAATTAAATTGTTCTTCAATTATTCCTTTATCTTCATGTCTTCTCCAGGAGCATCCCTTCATCTTCACACGAATAAACAGTGGCCCCGAGGTTCCTATGACAACAGTACCCACCACAGTCCTACCGGGCACCCCTTTGCCTGCTGATTGTGCCAATGATGTTGTGCCAGCCTGGGCAGCTGCAGTTCTGGCTGTAGGAGGATTGATGATTGGCTGGATCGTAACCTGGATGATCTTCTACTATAGAGAACGACGAAACAGAAAAAGAAACCAGATCAATGAAATGAGTGGAACAAAGTTCTAATAAGATTTTAAAAACAAAAGTCAAGTTAATTATGTTAAGGTGTCTTTACACAGCTGAGTTAAAGCTGCTTTTTTGCCTGATTAAAGTTCAGTGTAAAGTAGCTGTATTGCAAATGCATTTATGCCACCTCTAAGCGTTTGTGTAAAAATACTATAAATGCCAATTCAGAAGTATCTCTGTGCTACTTTTGCAGTTTACGTTTGGCCGTACAGCCTAAACCCTAATCATCTCTCCCCTAAAAGAAACGTTTTTTGTATTTTTTTAAGTATGTATATTTAATAAAGGTATTTTATAAACAATTTTAACTCTTGAGCATAAGCAGTAGATGAAGTGTTCAGATGTCTATAAATTAATTTATTGCTGTAAATTATTTGTGTAGTATTTTTAGTAATATGATTGTTTTATAATAAACAGAACAATGTTGAAAATATGTGATATATTTTAATGAGACAAAAAAAATTATATATAACAAGTATTTTCTTAACCTTTGATCTGTGATCCCATTAGCAAGTTATTTTTCATTAAATTGTGTCATTACACAAGACGTTTTTAATTTGTTTTGTTTTGTTTTCATACATGTTTCATTTCATACATACAGCCTTGTCACCAGACATAAACATTATTGAGCATGTCTGGGGTAAGATGAAGGAAGAGGCATTGAAGATGAATCCAGAGAATCTTGATGATTGCTGGGAGCCCTGCAAGAACGCTTTCTTTGCTATCCCAGATGACTTTATTAATAAGTTATTTAAGTCATTGCAGAGATGTATGGATGCAGTCTTCCAAGCTCACGGGAGTCATACACAATAATAATTATCTTTCCACTGCAGCATGACTTTATATTCTAAACTGTACATTATTTCTGTTAAGTAACAAGACTTGTCTAAGCAAAGTCAGATCTTACTGTCCTAATTAAATAATTAAAAATCGAGGCATGATCATATTTTATTTCAGTAAAATAAGCTTAAACTAGAGGCCTTTTCCTTTCTTATAAGCCAGTTTTGATACCAAATGATCAACTAGAAGTCGGTTTACATCAGTGGAAACAAATACTAGTCTTTGTATTTTTAATGTGTTTAAGTTAAGGTATTAAAATTAAGTTTTTAACTTTGCATTACATAAACATTAATATTGATTTTATTAAAATATTGAAATAAATAAATAAATGCCAAGAGTATACCTATTCTGAAAAAAATCCATCTAGAAGAGAAACCAAATACACAAATAGCCAAACATTAAACAATAGGAAACACCATTAACAATTAAACTCCTATCAACAGGTCAAAAGTTTGCCTTCAAACGCGATTAAATATTTATGAAAAGGTCATTAATATTGACGTAACTGCTTGTAACCAAGTGAATGACGTCATTGCAAGCGCCACCTAGCGGCCGTTGCTTGAAGCGCTGCATGCAGAACTCGGCACTGAAGATGGCGGAGGGGGAATTAAACGTTGACAGTCTCATCTCTCGACTTCTTGAAGGTAAGCTGTTTGAAAATTTAGCCTTTCTAACGTTTACACGATAAACCCAGTGATTAGACACTAGTTGTGACTTGTTTTATCGCCGGTGAATTGGAAATTTTGCGTTTAAAAAGAGAGCAAAGCTTCGGGTCTCTGCGCCCTGTTTACAAACACGGCAGTGGCCCCGGGGTTTGGGCAGATTTCATACCAGCGCTGGGAGGTTCAGATTAGATCTAATATCTACCAAAGCAGGGATGAGACGCGAGGGCCTGTGGTTTATACAGCAGATGTTTAAAGAAAGCGAGAAAATGGGAGAAAGGGCAGGACGATGCGGTGCTCGCTGCGTCGTCGACTTTAGGCGAATGCAACCGACGTAAACCCGATTCTCCATTAGACTCTGCTTCTACTGGTTTCAAAATACAGCATTACCGTGTTATTCACCGTGTACGTTAAAACTCTTGATTTATGTGAAACAAATGGATTTTCTAAATCATCTTATTAATGTTCACTGTGTTTTGTGTGTAACAATACACTCAATCTTATCCGTAATTGTACAATGTAAGTAACGTTACAATTCACAGCGTTACATTATCGTACTCTTCATATTTCCCTTTTAATATGTATTATTTGTCATAATTTTTATTCCCTTCATAAATACATATTATCTTTATATCGTTGCATTCCTTTAATGTCTCAATGCTTTCATTGGAAACGTTTGTTATAACTTTAGTAAAGCCATACAAAGAATGTAAGGTAACATTGAGATGTATTTGTTGTTGTTTTTGTTGAGTTGTTTTTTACTCAGACATTTAAAAAGACATATTTTAGAACAGTGATCACAATACAGTGAAACTGTGATATTTTTATCCAAGGTTATCATACCGTCAGAATCTTATATCGGTCCATGCCTATTCATCACTGCATATTCACAAGGTTTCATTGCTATAAGGCCGCAGCTACATTTGGTTGTCAGTTCAGATTTGATTGTTTAAATCTGTGCTGTTTACACAGTTCAGTCATTTATATGAGTGGCAACTACAGCAAGTGCTTTATTTCAAGGAAATGCAATTGATGGGTACATATACAGACATTCTACAGCTTGTAACAAAAAAAATAAAATAACAACTAAATGTTAATGTTGTATTTGACACAGCAAACCTAAAAACCAATGTTTTAACTTAGAATAAACAAGCTTGTAGTGATAAACTGTGTTTTTAATGTCAAAAGACACTTCGCAAGGATTGCTTGTAATATGTATATGTGGCAAAACTTGAAGAGTGGCCTCTGTGAAGCAGCCTTCTAAAGAAATGTGTTTAAAGTCATCTTTAGTAGCTGTGAACAAAAATGTTGCTATGGTTACCACATTTACATTGTCTCTTGTTTTACTCACAATAGTTTGCAATTATTTGGGGGATTCCTCCCCTATTTAAATACAATTAACACTTTTAAAGCGTTATTTTGTGTACTTGGCTGTAGTAATGTTTCACTTCATTTCCCTAATGATTTAATTGCTTATTATTCCCCTTATTATAAGATTACGCTGAATCCTCCTCTTAATGGTATTGAAAGATGTATATATCCTCCCGCGTGCTGTAAGGAATGTTACACTATATGTAGTTGTACTTTTAGGCCAATTCACAACTCTCAGACACAGATAACTAGGCATGGGCCAGTATAAGATTCTGATGGTATGATAACCTTTCATAAATATCGTGGTTTCTTGGTTTTGTGATTACTGCTCTGAAATGTATGCTCTTTTTAAATGTCTGGGTAATAAACAAAAACTTTTTTCCCCTGCAACACAATATCTTTCATTTTGAAGAGAAACGTTTAAAATATTTTGTAACAGTAAACATGTCCAAATAGTTCAAATGAATCCTTGTCTTTCTGTTATGAAATGAATCATTGTCTTTATTAGTTTTAAAAAGAGATTTTTTTATTTTATTTAAAACAACGTCTTTGGATATCTTTTCTGCTAGACATTCTGTTGTCCTAAAAACAAAAAAAGTACACATATCTTAGGAAAAATTTGAGAGAAAATTTGACGGTTTTGCACCTTGGCTTTTCCAAACTGCGATATACCTTGAAAGCGGTGATTGTCTCATGTCTACTGACAGCTGGCAGTTTTATTGAATGGGTGAATTTTTTGATTCAGTGTTTATTAGATTTGTGAAAGGTTGGAGAAATTATATGCTGTTATCTGGTGATTGTTGGCATTTATTGGCATAGTAAAATACATGCCAAATAGAAATAGCCTTTAGAATAACTATAGATAGTTACTTTTAATAAGTTAGAATTCAATAGAAATTTAATCTTAAGGCTCGTACACACCGGGATACTTTTCGTTTGCATTTATCGTCAGCATTTTTCAAGGTGTTTTTCCGGATTCAAACCCAAGCAATTTTGCAAAAGACCCAAGCAAAAGGATATGCAAAATTACTCCTTGACGTTAGATGACGCTACACAACTTTAAGCTTCTGACATTCGCATGTAACACTAAAGAAGAAGACAAAGTTCACATGCTTGTTGTTATGGATGGTTCAAGTAGCAGCTCCAGCTTTAGCGATGAGGAAATGATTATTGTTCACCAGTGCAATAAGCAGCTCCACCTTCATATCGCCTCTGGGCATCTTCTTAACAGTTTTGCGCTTGAGAGCCTCCAAGTGCTGTTTACTGTAACTTCAGCAGCTCTGTGCACGTAAACAAAAGTGCCAACCTTATTGGTGGAGAAGGTTTTGATGCAGCTCGTCAAAACAAAAAAAACAAGCATGAGGTATTTTTTTTAAATGACGCTTAAATGCTTGCCGTTTTGCTCGTTGGTGTGCACGATAACAGTGACGCCCTTTATTTAGTCATGAGGTATTAAATGTCGACAGATAGCACGAGCGAAAAACGTCTCTGTGTGCACAGGCCTTTAGTCGTACTATGACATTATAAGAAAATTTTAGGTAGGCTACTTGTTCTCAGTTACACTGATTGAACATCCTAATCTCAAAAATAATTCATTCATATTTTCAGAGCCTCACATTGTGCCTAACATATAATCTTTATAATATTTGGACGATCCTTCTAAGATCTTGTCCATGGGTGGTTGGATCTGAAATAGTTCCTCCACTGTACACTGGATTATTGTTTTTTGGTATGTAAAGTGACTTTTACTATCAAGTCTTAACTGCTGAAAGCATTTTCTATCTTGTGTATTATATTTGTGAAGGACATGTTTCTGTCTCGAGGGACTAGGATTATAATCTACCATGGATTATTTTTGTCTCTCTCAGTGACTTCTGTTGCTACACAAACTTCTGCTGTTCAGTTACTTTTGATAAAGGAAAGCACCCTGGATTATTGCACCACCCTGATAACCGATATGGCCTTGTGCCTGTCCATCTGTCCCTACACCCTCCTGCTGACCCTCACTCAGCATTGCCATCTGTGATACTGTATGACCCTGCTTTTCGGCTCCTCACACCTCGATTTTCTTGGTCTCACAAACACATCTCTGTATGTTTCTCCCATGTTCCATCTGTGTCTCCTGATCGCACTTCTCTATCTGTGAAGATCAAGTGGCCTGCTGCTTTACCCATGGTGGTCTAATAGCTGCCTGTCAGGACTTGGATAATCTTGTGGATTTCTGTAAAATGATGCTTTGGGAAAGTGAATCAGTTTAGTTTGTCCTTCTCATTTGGTTCTTATGTGTTGGTATATATTGTGACCCAAACATGATGGAAAGGGAATCAGAGCGAGGAACTAGTTTTAAAATGCCTTACAAATAGTAGTCGATTGCAAGGCTGCACAGTGTGATATTTCAGCATTGACATCACAATGTGCGTAATGCACACCAGCAGTAGCCCCTTCGCTGGAGGTGTCGAGTTTATTGTTGGTCTGGCAACACAGTTCAGAACCCTTGCGATTTGTGGAGTCATTACAAAGATCAACCTTAATAGAGTGAAAGTAGAGCTGGGAGAGTAATCGAAGATGATTTTCATGCACTTTTTGTCAGTAAAGCCAGTTATAGTCGGTGTTGGGGGTAACGCGTTATAAGTAACATGTTATATAATAATACATGTTTTTTTAAAGTAACGAGTCAAGTAATGCATTACTTAAATAAATAAATAAAAATAAAGTAATAAAGTAAAATAAGTAATTTTATTTGATTTACTTTTAAAAAAATTACTTTAGTCAGGTTGAATCACACACTCAGTGAGCGAGCATCTTTATCATCAGGTCTTTTTTTCATAGCAAATGAGTCTGCATACTGTTCTGGTAACTGAGTAACTCAGCATATGAATTTATTTCAAGTCAGAGGGGGTATCCTCTGACTTGAACTACTATGTTACTACTTACTGATGACACAAACCGTTTCAAGACAACTCTATTCAATTTAATGAACTGGTTTGACTGGTTCACTTAGCAGATTTTGTAAAAACAAACGATTCATTCACAAATCGCCTCTCATCACTACAGACTGTTGGTAACAGAAACAATGGCTGGCCGGAGACTTACATTTTTGCAATGGATTCTTGTTATATTGAACTTATTGAAGAAAATAAGTAGATTGTTGTTAAGTGTAGATGATGTGTAAGTAAAACATTTGACAACTGCAGGAAACACAACATCGAAAAACGAAACAAAAACAAAACTGGATGCAAAGCACTACACCCGCACCCCACATCCAGCTAAACAACAAAGGATTGAAGTCAGTTCACATTCTTCAGGCAAAACAATTAATTGGAATAAATAAAAGAAATTTTTTTTATTGCTTTCATTGTAGAGGAGATGCAGTCACTGTCTACTATAAGCAGCAAAGGTTTGTAATGTAGTAAGTTTTTTTCTCTTTTGGGGAACGATTTACACATTTGTTAAGGCCACGTGAAACAATTTATTCAATGTATAAAGCTCAACGATTTATTTTGATTTGGGGATGTTTTTAATCATCTTACTGTTCATTTTGTGATTACATTTTTAAAATTGTAAAGGTTTAAAATCTGTTTTTACCTTAATATAAATAATTTCTTGTTAGTACTCTTAGGCTTTATTGCAATCTTTATCCCAATGCACAGTGAATTTACTTAACTAATAACACAAAACATGCAAAAGTAGCAAACACATTACTTTACATCCTTTCATAAATCTGTATATACAGCATGTATAACTCTGGGCTCAAAAAGTTCTCAAAATATTGTTTTATTCTACTTTTTTTAAGTTAAATGAAGGTGTAGGTTAGATAGGTGGTTGTTAAATGCAGAGCTTCTCTATAAAAAAGGTGAGAAAACACCTGCAAGTTCTGAAAGAGATCAAACTTCATCCAGGTAAGAAAAAGTAACTCAAAAGTAATACATTACTTTCTATAAGAAGTAACAAAGTAAAGCAATTAGTTAATTTTTGGGGTAGTAACTCAATATTGTAATGCACTACTTTCAAAAGTAACTTTCCTCAACACTGGTTCTAGTAAACCCTAAGCATGTGTGTTCAGATGGAACTAATACTAATACGCTATGCAAAAATTAGATTTTAAATAAAAATTTGATTAAAACAGTCGATTTTGACATCCACAAAATCATTCTTTGATTATAACAGCTGTTTGTGTCACTTCTCAGTGCAATACAGTTCTGTGTAGTAAATTCTGCAACATATAAAAACATGGTTTTACTCCAGACTCACTACATAACTTTAGTTGAGTGTTTGAATTAAATCCCTCTTTTATTTGACTCCATTCTCATGTGTTAATTAGTCACACTGAATCAATGAAAGCAGTTAAATCTTCTGTTTATTCAGCAATCGCTATGGAGGTTTCCAGGGTTTCTTTGTGTTTATTTGGCTATTTAGAGTTTCTGCGAGAGACCGTCCTCTGGCCTTTGAAGGTGATTTACTGCTAATCACACTGTGTCTCCCTGACAAGATGTGCATGGCAGTTGTAGCTTTACTCGGTTGTATTCATTGTTTCATTTCGATTATTCAAGCACTCATTCAAAGAATTTGGGCACAAGAAGTTAAAACATTTGTAGCTTTAACAGAGATTAATTGTTTTTAATAATTTAGATGATGAAGGCTAAACGGTATTCTTTTATATTTCATTATTCAATGTCTGTGCCTTAACCCTGTTAGACTTCCCAGACAGCAATAATGCTCTGTTTATTTATTGTGCTTACAATGTTTATAATTGTATTATAATGTATGCAGATAATATATACAAAATTAACCCAGTTGATCTGAAATTATTCATTCTTTCCAATTTAAGCCATTTGAACAAATTGTATTTGTATTGCACTATGTATCACAGAAAAACAAAATTATTCAATCTAGTTTTCTTAATATTATGCAGTCATTTGCTACTCTTAAGTTGTTTCTGGCCAACTCATAATCTAGTTTAGACTGGTCTGGATGGTTACTTGTTGAACATACGCACACACACACACACACACACACATTCAGATTTTTCTTATGTTTAGTCATGCTGCAAAAACAGGGACATTTCATCAGCTACTAGACTTGCACACACACGGTTAAATCTGTACAAATGGTACCATGCAATCTCATAAAGTGCTCTCCACTGTACACACACACACACACACACACACACACACACACACACACACACAGTAGTTGGGGTTATAGCATTCTTCAATTCTCCAACATTTCTGGTTTGTGTGGGATATTGTGAGGGTGGACGGACTGAAGACTAAAATGGTTAGCGCCATTATATAACCGTTTTCATGGCTGTAAGAGAAGAGTGCAAGTTTTCCATCTCAGTGACATATATACTGTCTTTCAGATATTCAACTTTTCTCCCCCCACTCACAGCACATTCTCATTTTTTAATGTTGTTCTTGCTTTCTCTAAGTGGATTGTTGCTACAGGTTCTTGTTTGTAGTTTTTCTCCCTCAAAGTTTTTAGACAGAACTCTCAGAGAAATAGTTTACAGTCTCTACTATCAGCTTGGCGGGGCAGGAACATTCCAGCAGAATTCCAGACACTCTCAACATTCCCACTCACATAAACAGCAGTGTGTAGGATATAACATAGAAATGTTGATTGGGTCTGTCACAATCACAGATAATTGTTCCTAATTAATTGTCAAACCAAACATTGCAATTGCTAATTTGATTGTGTTTTGTTTGTCACATACAATGTACAGTGTAAGTCTTATCAGGTATTTTAATGGTATTGGCCACATATGGTTAAAATGAATGCTGTGAAAAGCAATACTATTTGCATAGCTAATTACTTGTAATGTAACCATAATGTCATTGTAACCAGAATATAGTTTCCCTCTTCATATACTAACACAATCAGATGATTAATCTATAATTGTGATAAACTTAATGTTTATGTATTATAATACTCTAATCAAAAGTCTGTGGGCGTTTTTTTTTTTTTGCAAATTATTGTAGCTAGAAATGTCAAAGGAACAATCTTTTTATGAAAGAAATTTTGGTACTATGTAAAAGTATTTATTTTAAATTTGTATAAAATGAATGTATCCTTACAATTTTTAATGACGACAAAGGTTTGTATGTACGAGTATGAATCAGTGAATCATAAATCTTTCCTGGTGTGTCACCATTAGACCTTGATTGGTTTAAGGCGTCGAGTGTCATTGTCAGCCTGACATCTTGCACAGCAAGACTTTTGACTGTTGTTAAAGTCCACTTAGCAACTTGTTTTGGCTAGCTTATACAGGAAGAAGCCTGTCTGACAAACATCTGAAATTAATAGCCATGGTTTAAAATTTTTAAAATGCTTATCTGATATAGAGTGCATTAATTCCTCTATTAAGTCCACTATTTCTGTAGCACTGGTTTCCAAAAATATTTTTCCATAAAGATTTTAAAAATGTCCATCCAGCCGCAATGTGAATAGCACCATTAATAATTTTTACTTTTTTAGTGATATTTTTTTACCACTAATAATTAACTTTGATTATGGCAAAGTATATGAAAATTAGACAAATAGACACAGTATATATTTTTTTTACAGTTTTAATGTAGGACAAAACTGCAATCTTATGAAGCATTACAAATTTTTAATTAAAAACAACAGAGAAAAGTTGATTGTGTGTATAAATATATACTTATAATAAGCTAAAGAAATGCAAATAAATGGGTTCAACAAAAGCATGTGGAGTTGATTTAACCTCAGAGCTCACATTGCCTGTCTTTAAAGGTTGATCAGATATTGTAAAAAATCTATTTCCCTATTTTCCTTCTCCACTGGCTCTCCTCAAAAACACGTATGCAGCCTCTTACAAACAGGTCTTTGTTTTCAGGTAGTCTGATCAAAAGTCTGATCAGCCAGATGCTCGCAAACTCAGACTGTTCAGTTTGCCAGATTGAGAAAGTCTATTTTTGCGTGCAATATGCTACAGTGAAGGACAGTATGGTATGTGGGCCAATTCGGGAATTGAGTGATTAGAAAATCCCACGTTTGACCCAGTTATTGAGGCTGCAATAAAGTTGTCACACTTATGGAATAGAAATTGATGTTAACCAGATCTTAACTAATGCTGATGTCTGCTGTTCCAGTGCGAGGATGTCGTCCTGGGAAGATCGTTCAGATGACGGAAGCAGAAGTTCGAGGACTCTGCATTAAGTCTCGAGAGATCTTCCTCAGCCAGCCCATCCTGCTGGAGCTGGAGGCGCCACTTAAAATCTGTGGTAGGTTAGATTCTCTCCTTCTCCAGAGGAGAATCTCTGCCTTTTTAATTACATTCCTTTCTCTCTATCTCAAGGTTTTGGAAATCTGCGTAAGTAGAGCAGGTTATAAATATAAATGTAATGAGGATAGGTTTGAGGTCATTTCTCTTCTCTCTGTGGCACACCTGAGACCTCTCTCTCTCTCTCTCTCTGTTTGTGTCTTTGTGTGTGTGTGCGCGCGCCAGAGTCATTAACCTGAATCTTGGGTGTCGAGGTCTTTAGGCCTTAGGTCTTTTTTTTATATTATTATATTCTAACTAATCCATGTTGGTTTATTGATTTATGATGATTACTCTCTCTTTCTAGGTGACATCCATGGGCAGTACACAGATCTGTTGAGGTTGTTTGAATATGGTGGTTTTCCACCGGAGGCAAACTATCTCTTTCTGGGTGATTATGTGGACCGAGGAAAGCAGTCTTTGGAGACCATCTGCCTCCTGCTGGCCTATAAGATCAAATACCCAGAGAATTTCTTCCTCCTGAGGGGAAACCATGAGTGCGCCTCCATCAACCGTATCTATGGCTTCTATGATGAGTGTGAGCATCTGAGAGCATGCATATTTAAACATAACCCCCCTCTCTACCAACTGCAAACATTGTGTGGACAAGATTTCAGATAATGCATCGCGCTGTATTATTATGCCCATTTGTATGTTTCAGGCAAGCGCAGGTTCAACATCAAGCTCTGGAAGACATTCACAGACTGCTTTAACTGCCTCCCAATCGCTGCCATCATAGATGAGAAGATTTTCTGTTGCCATGGAGGTGAGAACAAGTGAATGAACAACGGATAGTTTTATTGAAGTGATTTGTGGCCTGATAAAATGGAGCAACTGGGTCAAAAAAATACTATTGCATTCTCTTTTTCTGACTTTTATGTCTCTCTCGTGTCCATCAAGGTCTTTCTCCTGATCTGCAGTCAATGGAACAGATACGTCGAATTATGCGACCAACTGATGTCCCAGATACAGGTGTGTGTGTATGCGACATATTTCTTGTTTCAGACGAGTAAAATATGATGATCTTGATTCCATTTAAAGTCGTAATGTCGTGACAATTGATGAAGTTTTGTTAATTTAGTAAGCTTTAAATGGATTCTGAACATTTTGTTGCTCATATTTACATTTCCTAGAAATAATATCTATCATCTTTTACAATTGTAATTACCAAAGTTGTAATTGTGCAAAGTTGTTTTAGTATTATATAATATTATATTTGTGTTGCTATTTCAAGTAGCTTTTTAATATTTTCATTTTTTGTGCATTGGCTTTTTCGCCATTGAATAGGGACATTTAGATTTAATTACATTTTATATAAGTAAAATTTTTATCTTCATCTAGCTTTTTTTTTTTTTTTGCTTCATCTTAAGCTTCATTCATTCATTTTCCTTTCGGCTTAGCCCCTTTAATAACCCGGGGTCGCCACAACGTAATGTTTTGTATATTCACTTAAATTTAACGTTGGTCATTGAAAACATGTTGTTACATTTAATAATGATTGACCACTTAAGGATGATTTATATGTGACGCATTTGATTTGAGTTGAATATGAATCACTTTAAAGAGATTTTATCTAAAACAGGTACGACTGTACAGACATCAACCCGATCACCAACAATTTGGCTAGAAATTGCAACAGCCATGGGAAAAGGAAGAGAGTTTTTTAATAAAGTTCAGAAAAAGTTGAGGGATAAGTTTCTTAAAACCAAAAAGTGAGACCATGTCAAAAATGGAGACCCAGGTGGTTTAATACACAATTACAGAATATGCTTTTCCACCATTCATAGGTGTTACACTGATTTATATATTACAATTTTGAATTTAAAACAATTTAATAGTTATAAAACTAAAATGAAGTAACATATTATTTCTTTTTATAACTGGAAAGAATATTTGAAACGGTTTACAATATACTGATGCCCTGTTTTTCAAGGCTTTATTTGTGATATTGGTCAGGATCGTTGGACCTTTTAACATACAACTGTAGAGGACACAAACTAGCCAGACAGTAATGTGTGAATTGTTGATCAGGCTAAATCTAAATTTGTTTTTTAGTAAGTGTACTTTTTAAAATAAAAAAATATATTTGTAGAGCAACCCCTGTTCTGTTATAATTAATATTTTAATAAACTATAATACGTGGAATTATCTAAGATATGAACAAAAGCAAGTGATGCATCAAAATTTGATTGATTGATTAATTGATTGATTTTTTATTAATTAATCTTGAATGCTTATAATATTTTATAAAAAATAATTAGTTTAAAAATCTTGAATGACATTATTGATATGACGTATTTCCGGAAACTATTTACTTGATTTTACGGTGGGTACCTTTTGACCAACCCCTTTCATTTAAAAAAATATTTAATCATCAAACGCATCAAGTATAAAAGCCTCATCCATTTCGTGAGATGCATGCACAGTCAACAAAGGTCTACTACGTGACGCCAGACAAAAGTATAAATCAGCCATTATATAAGCAATCAACTAAATGAACTTAAGATATTATAATAAAATATCACAGACACTTGTTCTCTGGTGATTTCATGCTGAGTCTCTTACTCTTGCAGGGTTGCTGTGTGATTTGCTGTGGTCAGACCCCGATAAGGACGTTCAGGGATGGGGAGAGAATGATCGTGGTGTTTCATTCACATTTGGTGCTGATGTAGTCAGCAAATTCCTGAACCGCCACGACCTGGACTTAATCTGTAGGGCACATCAGGTAACAGTTCATTTCAACCCATCTCATCCATTATTGTGTTTCATGAGTTGGACGTGTAGATGTTGTGTTGTGGTTTGTGTAGTGATCGTGTGCTGTTTTGCAGGTGGTTGAGGATGGTTATGAATTCTTTGCGAAGCGGCAGTTGGTCACTCTGTTTTCAGCGCCAAACTACTGCGGGGAGTTTGACAATGCCGGTGGAATGATGAGTGTGGATGAGTCACTCATGTGCTCTTTTCAGGTGTGGCATTATTCACGTGCACGCACACACACACACACACACAAGCATGCATTGTGCTTTCCAAATACACTCAAACACTCCCTGTTCTCTTTCAGATCCTGAAGCCATCAGAAAAGAAGGCAAAGTATCAGTACAGCGGGGTGAATTCAGGGCGACCTGTGACCCCGCCCCGTACTGCCCAAGCCCCCAAGAAGAGGTGAGCGGCTCGCCAGCCGGAACCACACTCTCCATCCCCCATCCCCACCTTCAGCAAAGTACCCCTTTATGGGGCAGCTTGTCCTTCCCAATTTCCCCTATGAAGTCTGTCTACTCGCCCTGCCAAACCTCTTTCTCCTTTCTTAAAATTTGTGTACAGAAATTTTGCTGTGACCAGTGGAATTCTCTTTTCTTTTGCTCTGCTTGTTTGTTTATTGGTATTTTAATAACATAAATAATAATAATAAATACTGCTTTTGGTAAGCAGCTCCTGACTTGCTCTACAAAGATCCCAGAGCAAAACACACACTCGTTCTTTTACGCAAAGATCTCGGTAGTGTGCTGATATATAAGCATTTTGTTGAACTTTACTTCAGTACTCTTTGATTATTGAACATTAATGTCGATTCATGAAGAAAGAGTGATGATTGTAAGTATTAATGGTTGATGTGTATTTCGCTACACGATGAAGTTTCAAGACCAGAGGCTTTCACGAACACACACACACTTAACGCTGTCAGGGTCACAGGTCAGCAGACACTTCACACAGACGCAAATCTATTGTCGATAAAATAGGTCGGTGTGGACAAAGCTAGAAAAAGGGATTTTAAATTGGATACCGTGACATGCGCGCACACACACACACACATTTGCACAGCTGCATTTACAAACGGCATTGCATGTTCTGTTTTCTTAAAAACCTCTGGGACTTACAGCAAAACTCTATAGACCTCTGTTTAACGTGCTGTTTTTATGTCTGATGATAGTAATAATTCAGGAGAAAAGTGTCACGGCATAACACTTTGCATGACCCATGTACATGTCTGTAATAACCTGTCTGAAATGACGTAATCCACCAGCCATTTTCTCATTGGATAACTAAACCAAGTGGAAAATAACCTCCAAGTTGAAGAGTCACACTTGTTTGAAGTTCCCCAACATTATTTCGAAGGTTAAAAGTGATTTAATTTGATTTGTTTAACAACTAAAAGAGTAGCACATGTGACTAAACAACAATGCCTTTGTGTGAGGGTTGCTCTTCCTCACGTGGATATTCATCTGTCATAACACACTCTTTTTTTAATGTTTTTATTTGTGTGTGTTGCTGTTTACTTCTCCTTAATTTATTTCCAAACGTTGGGAAAAGCTATCAAAGTGTTCTAAAAGCAGTTCATGAGTTTTGTATAAGTGGGCTTCAAAATTAATAAATGGAAGAAAACTCTCTTTGCCGCCTCTGACTTTGTTTCCCTTAGCAACCGTATAAATACCAGGCTAATTAAAGTGGCGGAGACCATAGTTCTGGACGCTATTCAACCGACTTTTTCCTAGTGTTTCATTAAAATAAGCAGCACTGTAAGTCTCCAGTGCTGGAAAATGTGGACGAGGACAATCTGTGGCCTGTTGTCATGGCTACTGCTGCCCAGCAGGGTCGGGCTCCATTTCAATGCAGACAAAAGCAGACAATGTGCTGAGATTATTTTCAGTTGATTGAAGTACCATCTGAAATTTCACATCATGGATTTGTTTAATGACCTGAATAAATGTATTTAATCGATCACAAAATAATCCTGCCACATTTAATGTTTCCATGAAGTAATCTGGGCTTTGGGTTATAGAGGACTGACTTGTCCTCTTCAGGTAGGATGTTACTGGAACATTACACTTGACCAATCAGATATTTAAATTTATTTTAAGGAAGCAAACAGAAGGTAGTATCATGGTAGAGTTACTGTGAAATACATTTTCTTTTTTTTTTATATAGACCTATAATGACAGATACCTTAAGGTGTGCTTGCATTTAATGTTGCTCTTGAAAATGTGTGGAATCCAGTATTTTAAACGGCAGCCATTATGCAAAAAATACTTTTATAAGAGGTTTATAAGAACAGTTGTGTAGCAACAGTGTCAATATAGCCAGCCTCTAATGGAAAAAAATATATATATTACATAATCTTTTTATAATCATACTTGATAAACACAGAAACACTTTGATATTCTCTCATTTGTAACAATCTCTTCCTCATTAGCAACAGCCCTGAGTGAGAAGCAGCCCTCTGCCATTAGAGTTTTCACCTGCTAAAGATAATGTCAACAACTAAGAGGATTTAAAATGCACGAATCAAAACTGTAGTTACTTTGTAACTCCGCCCTTTGTATAAAGAGCACAATCTCATTTAAATTTAAAGTCCCAATGAACCGGTGCTGCGATTGTTTTTTTTTTTTCTTATTGTGACGCAGTTCCTAAAGAAACTGAATGTGGAACAGTGGCCGTGGCTTGTTTTTTTTCTACTGCAAGTTGAATGGTTCTGGTAAAGTAGGCATTTCATTCAGAAAGCTTGAGAAAGAAGTTTTATTAGAGTTATTGCAACCTAACAAACTCCTGCTCACTATTTCTGTTTGTTGTCAAAACTGACAGTTGGACCAGCATGGTTAACTATGTTAGCCATGCCCAATACTTCAAAATCACGTCATCTGATAATTTAACTGAAAACAAACAGGAAGTGCATTTTTAGATTTCAGTTAAAGATTAGTGACATCTGAGACTTATTTTACATCTTATAAAAAGAGGCATAATAGGACTCCTTTAAATAAGCAATGAGGAATGAATCATTTTACACAGTTTTGAAAGCAGGATTAGCACCACTTTTGTTTTTGCAATGCAAAGCATGCGGTGAGAAGTGATGCAGTGTTATGATTTAAGACTAGATGCTTTCCAACCAATAGCATGCCTTTATTTTTTACTTTATAGTATAGCAATCATTAAAATTGTATCCGATATAAATATTAAATCTCAGCATTATGAAATCATTGATTTAAAGTAATCATTTAGAATTGGCTTGTTGCCATCATTCCCATACTTGTTGCCAAGGGTGGATTTAGTGATTTTGGGGCCCTAATCAATTCCAGCCAAGGGGCCCAAAAGTTCTAAAATACACCTTCTGTATTTTATTTTTTATTATTATTATTTTGCTGTTTATTTTTTCTTATATTATTCATTCTCCTTTTTTATACTTTTTATATTAACACAAAATAATAACATGTAAAGCATATTGTAAAACATGTGAAACCATTTGTTTTCTTAATGAATTCACAACCAAAAATAATAAAGGTACTATTTCATTTTTTCATACTAAGTCTTTACTGATGACTGACTGCTGGACTGGTCCATGGTTGAAGGTGGAGGACAAATTTGCGCAGATAACATGTTGAAATTAAATATTTTAGACCCTCACCTTACAAAATATAATAGAAAACAATGTTATATATAATTCATAGGTATCATATATGTCTAGATATTTACTTGGAGGGCCTTAGTTTTCAGGGCCCCAAGCGGCCGCTTACCTTACTTATTGATTAAATCCACCCCTGTTTATTGCCTGGACAGAGATTATGTGTTTAGCTTCCTGTATAAAATTCAAATTCCATCTCATCAATCAAATGGGAGCCAATTCTTAAAGGAGACCTCTTATGTAAAAATCACTTTCGTAAGGGGTTTAAACACAGTTGTGTGGCAGCACTGTGTGAATATCATCAGCCTTTGATAGTAAAAAATGTAACTTAGTTTTTTATAATCACATTAATCACATTATAGAAAGCTCCGCCCATTAATGACGATCTGTCTCTCATTAGCATAGAGAGCCCTGAGTGAGAAGCAGCCATCCGCCATTAGAATTGATGGTACCTGCTGAAGAGAATGTCATCAGCTACGAGGCATTATGCATGTGGTAACACAAATGAACACTGTATTCTCCATATTTGCCGCCTTCTGAGCAACTTCTTTTGACATTTTCAGTTTTTCACAATATAACATTAGTTCACTTTGAAATCTGTTGCCATGGGGATGCATAGATCTGAAGTTTGTAGCAGTTTGTAGCTTTGCCCCTGTTTGAAAAGAGGTCTGCGACACAATCTAATTTGAATTTAAAGCGACAGTCACCAAAATTGTTCAAACTCTAAAAAGGGTTGGTTCAAACACTTATAAAAAATATTTCTTCAGTATTTTGAGATTAAACTTCCCATGCAGACTCAGAAACATCAGTAAATAACAGGACATCTTGTAAAAAGGGGCATAATACTTTAGATCTTCCTGGATTTTTGTTTTGCTTAAGTTCAATTGGGTTTGAATTTAATTCTTCAATAATGTTTGACCAGAGGGCTATCTTAGCTAAATTGGAACTGAATTTAATAACATCCTATCCTCATCTTTCAAGCAGAAACAAAGAATTCTTAGTGAGGCTGTAGTAAAATATGCTTTTCCTCAAACAACCTCAGTTCCTCCATCAGCGTGGGGCGTCTTTTCCACCGCTTTAGCCCCCCCAATAGCCGTTAGCCAGGCCCAGGCTGTGTTTGCTGCCCTCCAGAGTGGCCCTTCAAAGAGGCAGGCACAGAAAAAGAGGCAGGGCAGGACCACGTGCAGTTCCACCAGGAGCCAGACGAGCAGCAGGAGGAGGACGGCTGTCAGCAGCTGCAGTGCCACTTTGCCTGCACACTTCTCTCTCAGCCAACAGCATAACTGCCTGCTGATTCTGACCCCGTTCTGTAAGGTGAAGGAGAGTGCTCAGTGCCAGGCACACATACAGTTGCAGCTCCTAATATATGTGTTGTTTTTATTACCTCGTGGTCTGGAGTTGACGGTTGATGTCTGTTAGATGTCTCCTTGTCAGCTCCTTGTGAAACTCTCCTCTTAGCACAACAGGTTCTTTTGTGAAGTCTCTTCTCCATGCTGAGGTTTCTTGTGTAGGGCATTTTATTCATAAGTATTGTGCTAAAATCCTACTTTTTTATAACTTTTATTTCTATGTAGTTATTTTTTTTACAATACAATAACAATAATTTAACAGAAAAACATGCTAACATATATCAATACATATATACACAAATCAATATGCACAAACAGTTGAAGTCAGAATTATTAGCCCCCCTTTGATTTTTTTTTCTTTTTTTAAATATTTCTCAAATGATGTTTAACAGAGCAAGGACATTTTCACAGAATGTCTGATAATATTTTTTTCTTCTGAAGAAAGTCTTATTTGTTTTATTTCGGCTAGAATAGAAGCAGTTTTTAATTTTTTAAAACCATTTTAAGGACAAAATTATTGGCCCCTTTAATCAAATTTTTCGGTAGTCTACAGAACAAACTATTATGTTTAGAAATGTGTTGAAAAAATTATTTTTGTTAAACAGAAATTGGGGAAAAAAATAAACGGTGGGGCTAATAAATCAGAATTATTGGCCCCTCTGATTTATTAGCCCCACCGTTTATATATATATATATATATATATATATATATATATATATATATATATATATATATTCATTCATTCATTCATTCATTCATTCATTCATTTTCTTGTCGGCTTAGTCCCTTTATTTATCCGGGGTCGCCACAGCAGAATAAACCGCTAACTTATCCAGCAAGTTTTTACGCAGCGGATGCCCTTCCTACACTACGGACAATTTAGCCTACCCAATTCCCCTGTATCGCATGTCTTTAGACTGTGGGGGGAACCGGAGCACCCGGAGGAAACCCACATGAAGGCAGGGAGAACATGCAAACTCCACACAGAAACGCCAACTGAGCCGAGGTTCGAACCAGCGACCCAGCGAACTTCTTGCTGTGAGGCGACAGCACTACCTACTGCGCCACTGCCTCGCCCCATATATATATATATATAAATAAAGGAATAGTTTATCCAACAATAACAGTTTACTTAATATTTACCCTCAAGTGGTCCCAAACCATTACAAGTTTCTTTATTCTATTAACCACAAGAGAATTGTTTTCGTGACAGCTCATTTAAATTTAGATGCATTATTTTTTAATGCTGTAGACGTTGGTGGCCATATTCTAATCAAGGAGCATAGAATCAGGTCATTGTAGGCTCTTTGCTCTAATATTAATTGATTTAAATGTTTAATTAATTGTTTTGTTTTTAAAAAAGTAATTTAAAAATGTTTGTGTTTACTGGACACTATATAAAAATGTTCACTGGGTTAAATGTTCACTGGGTTAAAATGTTAAATGGGTTGTAAGCATACCTGATTTTGAATGAAACAATCTTCACCTCTGAGCAGTGGACACTTCCTAGCTCGACCTCCTGGGAAAGAAACTGTTATTCATTTTAAATAAAAACAGTTTTCTGAATTGCTTGATATATTTTTAATATTTTACAAATTACATTATATTTATTGTATTACAAAAATGCATTATATTTATGAA